AAAAAATTCATGCTGTATCAGGAGTAAGTAAGCTAATGTCAATAAACTTTTTTGTACTGGTCAATATAGTGGTTCAATTTTATTTGATTTTACTACTCATATTGATGTCCAGTCAATAAATCGTGTCAAATCTAAAGATTTCGGCTACAGCTCATTGTATAACGCGAATTAGATAGCAATTGAAAACAAAACCGCATCCAGCCTGGATTTAAAAACTAAGTCATTGATACTTTTGCGAAAACTAAAGCTAGGAAAAAATTGTAAATATAATTGTTATTTAGTCAGTTGGTAGGCCCGACCTTTATATAATAAACCCTTGAATCTTCTCTATTTCATTTTACTCGCCAAACCTACACCAAGTATTAATTATTGTAATTTATGTTGTTACTGTTTAATATTTTTATTACCTGCCCTGCACAAAAAAGAGCTTAAGTAGCTTAGCAATTTTAAAGTATTTGTATATTTCATATTTTTATTTGATAAAACCTAATCAGTTTACATAGCAGTGGGCCCCCATTTCTTAATTTGCCTTAGGGCCCTTGGTCACCTAGCTACGCCATTGTCACCACGTATCTTATTAATGTTCCGATGGCCATGATCATTAAATATTTGCAGGTGTCACTCCTGACGAATGTAGCACAACAGGAGAAACGATAATATTGCTTGATTGGCCAACAGTATTTCTGGTCAAATACCAGGGTCAAAATTCATCCCTTTGAGAAAATACAATGAAACTCTCTCGATTTTTTTTCAGTTAAATTTTTATTTAGATGTTCAGAAATGCCGAGATTGTTTTAAATTAACAGCATGTTCGATGCTGTTTACGGGAAGACCCCCAGGGACGTTTTTGGATACGCTTAATAAGAATCCACAGGCGCTACTATAGGTCAATTGGTGCACAGCCGGCTCTACGAGCTCAGGTATCGGAGGAGAGTCGCACGCTGAAGTCACTAGGCCAACACTGCTCTTGCTAAATTACTAGAAATAAAAAACACAAAATTTTTTTTTAAAGGCTCTGACACGGTTTGTGCATTAGCCAGCGTCAAGTATAAGATTTGTATAATGTGCTTGCCTCGTTAGGGAATTAATTAGGTTCCCATTCTTAAAATTACTTTAAAACTTTCCTTTATTAACACAATTTTAATTACAACATCACTTTATATGCAAATTCGTTAGTTTCAAAACAAGATAAAAATAATGTACAAGAATAAATTGGTAATTCTATCTTTCAGCAATTTTTTTGTTGTTAATTTCACAAATCGTCACACAGGATGTCATCTATGACTAATATTTTTAAATTGGTTATGCTAAATTAATCTGGAATTATATAACCCTTCTTGTATGGAAATTGCATAATTCACCAAAAACATTCAAAGATCTTCCTACTAGAGTAAAAAATGAACGTAATGCATTACTTTTGGAAAAAAATATTATTCTATTAATGATTTAAGTGTAATTTATATTCATTTGATAATGTACTTATATATTTTAATTATAATAAAGTAAACCTACTTTTAATTATGTAAAGCAAATTTGCACTCTATTATGTGTGGCAGAATATTCGAAGTTTAGATTATGGCATTAGTACTATGTTCTTGCAAATAAATTGTTATTAAGTATAATTTTTCAAACTTGATTATAACGAAAGGGTAGTATTTTTAATCCTATACTACCAAGGGTTATCAGATACATTTACGTAATAAGTAGGAGATAATTGATTGCCTTACACCCGTCTTAGTTTATTCATGCCAGAGAAGACACAAGTTTCGCGTTCCGCTAACTCTTCGAAACAACCCTCCTTAAAGCCTCAGCTAGCATCGGAATACTGGGCGTTGACATATCGAATGACGTGCAGTTACGCGGTCATTTGGAAGGAAAGGCTGAATTTGCCTCTAAAAAGCTTGGTGTCTTCAGCGAGCGGAGACGGTACTTCACCCCATTGAACGTCGAGGCAAAATAAGAAATAGCCGCTCACCACAACTATGTGGAACCTACCCACGGAAGTATTTTTTAACCACTTCGACTTGAGCCTTACTGCAATGTAAGTGTCCATGGGCGGCGGTATCACTTAACATCAGGCCGTCTGTCTGTTTGTCCCCATATATGTAAAAAAAACTTCAAGCAATGGTTATTATATGTGATTAATTTTTTCACTTCCCACGCAGACAACACATGTTGAAAATTTTGAGTTATTTAACCTTCAGTTATCAGTAAATTATATATTGCATCAAATACAGACTGACGCACACAATAATTAATTAAAAATATGTGACTTCGTACGAATAAACGTAGATTAAATGTGTTATAATATTATAAACGCGAAAGTTTGTAAGTATGTATGGATGTTTGTTACTCTTTCAAGTAAAAACTACTGAATGGATTTTAATGAAACTTCTTAATAATAATAATATTAATCTTTATTTCTTCTCTCACATATTATACAAACAAGGTTATTATGATTAAACTAAGATGATAACATTAGGAAGTGTATGTGAGAGACTGGTCTCTGTAACAGGAGACCTGAGTGACAGATAGCCAGCCTCTCCACCACCGGACCGGAACACGTACAATCAGGTCATTGTCATAAGATAAAATAAAAGAAAACATTGCAAATGCTAAAAGAAAACATTGCAAACGGAGTCGTAAAAATAAATTTGGTGTGTGTATGTGTGTGCGCGCGCGCGTGTGTGTGTCACTATGTGTGTGTGCCTGCGTGTATGTGTGGGCGAGTGGGTGTGTTACAGAGTAACAGTTATTAAATCTTGTTTCATCATAACTCAACGTTTTCAGCCAAGTAGTAACCGTTTTTTTACATTCATATTTAGATAGTGGGTAAATGTTAATTTTTTCATTTAATTTATTATACAGGTAACAGCCTAGGAAACCAAAGACTCTTTGCGAGAAAAAAGTAGTCCATTGTGTAATACGACAGAAAACTTTATGTTTAATCCGCTTGTTTATATTTAATTCGGGGTCGTGTGAATTGTTCAAAATATCAAGCAAATAGGAAAACATCTACCATCTGCGAGCTATTCTGGCGTGCGCTGCCAAAACCGCTAGAGTTGTATATCTTCTGTCATATGTAGGCTTACATATTACAGAATTATTATTATAGCCAATATAAATAGTGAAGCATAACTACCATAAAAATTAATTAATATTTCAAATGCACATTTGGTAGTAATAAATTGATTCCTAAATGAAAATAGATACTTTTATCGCTTTTGGTATTAAAAGTAGATAATATGTATTTCACGCTACATCATTTGAACAAATATTATTTTAATCCTACGCAGACGAAGTCGCGGGCACTAGCTTGTGTGTAAAAAGGGTGCGTGTACTTATGTACGCGCGTAAGAAGTTATACTTCTTTGGCATTATTAAAATAGTTTTTGATTGCATGCAAATAATTAATTACAATTAAATAATCAAAGACTGGAAAATGAGTTATTATAGTCAATAAAGTTCAGCTTACATTTGAAAATTTAAATAAATAAATATTTATTATTATTCTCTTACATTAAGTGTAACATAAATTCTATTATTATTCGAATGTTGTTTTTAAATTATGTCCAATGCCGTAGCATCTTCCGTGGGCAACTTCATTCTGTTAATTTTGTGTCACGGAGCGCGCGCATCGTAAAATTTCACTCTCATCAATTTTTCATAACGCGCCTAAACAAGTATAACTTCAATAAAAAGCAAAATAATTATGCATAGTTTATTTTCGTATAAATAATACAAATTATTCACTTATTAAAAACATACTATAAACTTAGTTATTTTTATTAAAAGGACATTTACTAGCAATTTAAGGTACACACTCTGAAAAATCTAAGGTTAAGAATACACACATAATACGCACACATAGTCAACCATTCGTACAATACGCGTATTTATTTATTTAAAACCATTTAAGTCACTGAAGAGTACACATTTGTAATCATGTACTTAAAAGGGGCGGCCCACACATTGTACGTATATACAGGTCGTCCCAAGACTATGGGACATCAAATACATTATTTTTCGTTGTTCCTTGCTTTTAAAATACTATGTTACTTAAAAATTATTATTTTTTGTCCATTCTTTTGATTTGCGAAAAAAGGGGTGTATTTTTCACATTTTAGTCAGTTCCCAGACGAGACAAGTAGTTTTTAGAAAATCATTGAATGCAGTAATACTTTGCAAAATATCTTATCTTCGATATTAAAGGTACTTTCCCGTGATGTCCCACGATCTTGGGACGCCCTGTATACTTTTAGTTACTACTCGTATATGGTGTAAAAAAAAAATTGAAATGAGGCACTAAGTATGACTCGCGCACGTCAAAAATGTTTTGAATTTTAACAAACACGAGTCAAGTTCTTATTAATTTAAGTCAACACAATTTGCACTAGATTTAACTTCCAAAAAACTCGAAACCTCTCGAAACCTTGGTTGGTTTTTCTTGCCACATTGTAAACTATTTCCATACAACACTAACGTCAGAAAATGCAGTCCTTTAGAAAACTCTATTTTAGGTTTAAAGTTGACAATAAAACACAACACTTTTTATTGATAATTTTTTTTTAATAGAGCGCATCGTGCAATCAGTCTTCTGACTATGAGCAGATGAGTTGTAGATTTGATTTGCGGGTGGAGATATTCCTCATTAGGAATATCTACCATAATAATATTAGCTCAGTAAATGCTGCTGAGCTCAAGGGTTCTTCGTCTTTTGAGTCGGTCTATATACTCCGTTAGGGTGAGTTGAACAGCTACCTAGCTGTTAACCACCTGGTTAGGATGATATTCCAGCCTAGTCTTGTACTTCTCAGCGTGTACTTTTATTTCCTCCTTGACTGTAGGTATGCCTGTACTTCAGTGTTTCTTATAAACCAAGGAGAGTTGCTTATTTGTTTAAGGATGTAGTTTTGTGTTCTTTAAATTTTAGTTTTGTTAGAGTGACAATTGAATTTGAATTGAAAACAAAAAAAAATATTGATAAATAAATACAAATATTACAATTTACTATTGCTGATAAGCCTCATAGCCTCTCTATACCCCGAGTCGACAGCTCCATGCGCTGCTGAAAAATGAATGAGGTCTGTGGCCTCTCCCGCGAACAAAACGCGAGGAACTCCGAGCGTATCCCGTAGTGGTTCAGCGAGTAATGTTCGAGCATTCGGGTTTTGTATCGTCAGACGATTGTCAAAGGAATAGCTACCGCGGGTGAACGGGTTTGAGAACCAGGTAGACCTGAAAATAAAAAAGGTTTCTTCTTATAGATAACATTCTAAATTTACATTTACTGTTTTCAAATCGAAAGCGTAGAACAGACGAGAAACTCGCAAAAACTTCGCCACATAAAATCTGTGAAAACCATTACACGATGTTCTATATGACATCTTTAAGCAATTAATATAAGTAATAAAAAATCCAATTTTGATAATGCTTATCAATTGGCATTAAAAAGAAGGACATTAACTGACTTTTTCGAGTTCTTATGTACAAATATATTTTTAAAATGTGAATAAATTTTAAAAGTATCTCTATACCCGATACTATATTGGTCCTTCGAGCCGATATGCAAATATGTCTTTAACAATAAACTATCGTTTATTCAGTAGAAAGGCCATTATTGTTTTTACTATGTAAAATGTCTTTAGATCAGAGATATTTCATTATGTATATTTATTATATACAATGACTCTGTTAGTATCTCTGTGACCATGGATTGTTTAAATGAAATTATCCCCATGATTCGAGTAGGTAGCGAAGGCAGGTAGACAAAAATTCCTTGTGTCTTCACTAATTTAGACGCCACTGTGCAATCGACTAAAAATTGTACACTTTTTGACAGATAATAATTGACATTTGAATAAAATATACTAAAGACAACATTTTTTAGAACTCACCTGATCATTCCAATAGGTTCAGGTATTTCACAAGTTTTTCCCATGAATTTTCTTAACAGGTCCATACATTTTCGTTTTACGATGTCTTCTGGTAGTGTTTCCAGCTGCAATTGGAAAAAGATAGTAAATTAATTAGTCTAGTGGCTAATGTGTTTAACAAAAGATCATGTGTAGGAACAAATTTATTTATACACATAACAATTAAGACACTTGTGTAGTAACACAACTAAATAAATCAGGTTATTTTTTATTTAAAGTAAAAACGTACCATTTTTCCGACATCCCCACTCGTCCACATTGTCAACGCGTTCCTGGATCCCATAGGGTTGCTAGCAGCGAAAATCCTCGTGATCCAATAATCTTCTTTCGGCACTTGCTTCTTATCCTCAGCTTTCCAGAAGAATCCAAAGAATGTGCCTTGTTTAGGCCACCAGGGTCTGTCAAATTGGAATATTATTTTGTCCATAACACCTATAGACGTGTTCTCTATGGCTTCTATTTTTTCACGCGGCAATCCCGGATTGAATAAGGTTTTATATCTGCAAATTTTATATGTACGATCAATGATAAAATCCATTGCATTCAGATCGCATCTTCAATCGTTTTTCTTTTAAAAGCAAGTCACAACATACAAAAACAAAATCTCTTTGACCAAACACAATCTTAGTTTTAAGGCTGTCACCAGCAGACCCGATTTTCAGACGTCCATACAATCTTTTAGATTCAATTTTATTACTCTTGCTCGTACAGTGAATTCAAACATGATGAAACTAGAATACCTATGAGCCAACAATATTTAACCACAGACTCAATAGCTGATCATCTTCTTCTTCTAGTCTATATATAAATCGCCTACAGTCATATTGCAGTAATACCTACCGTTCCTTCAAAACTCCCAACGAGACCGTAACAATAACTTGACGGGATGTGTGCGTACTGCCATCTGCGCAGACGACTCTTACATCAGCGCCATCTTCTGGCCAAATTATTTGCGTCACCTCCGCGTTCAGTTTTATATCAAGGTTTGGTAAGCCCGGTCCGTTGTTGTATGTATTCTGAAATTAATTAATATAATAGGTAAAATAGTCAATGAATAATTTTTGGTTTAATTCTGGCAGTTCTTGTTCGTACTACGCCCTTGATTCGAGAACAGTAAATGTAAATTTAGAAGCATTCTTTTTACTGACGTTCATAAGTGCACATTGTATTATTAATATAAAAAAACCTATTTTTTATTGTTTCAGACACATTCTTTTTATAAAAATGTGCAGGAGGTTGACCTGATATTAAATGATACCACCGCCCATGGATACTCAATACCAGGGGGCTCACGAGTGCGTTGCCGGCCTTTTAAGAATTGTTACGCTCTTTTCTTGAAGGACCCTAAGACCTAAGTCGAATTGGTTCGGAAATACTTCAGTGGGCAGCTGGTTCCACATAGTACTGCCTTAAAAAACACTCAGTAGTGGAATGACGAACGTCGATTTCTACAAATATTGATGTTTAGGCAAATGTTTTGCCTATAAGATGAGCCTTTGTTAGTATTGGAACAAAAAAAGAACTTTTATAGCTCCTAATAGCTTAAGCACGTCTCCTTCGTGGGCCCCATTAACCACCAGGTGATTTGACAAATTTCCGTTTGACTGCCTTTCAAATATTGATTAGTCAGAAGTCATTTTAAGTCATAACTCACTAGCATCAGTTCAAAGAAGGTCTTATATCCATGCCTGTGCCAGCTCATGTGTTGGTGGCCTTCCAACTCCGTGTACCGACTCTGTGCACTGACGTCATTCCAGTCATTCGAAGACTCGTGATTGTTTATATACAGATTCATAAGTTCCAGGAATTCCGTCAAGAAATCTTGATCATTCATCAAATTCGGGTATTTCACTTTGACGTATTCCATTAATCTGAAAGCGTAGAATGAAACGTCAACGGGTTGTCAATTTGACGTGTGTCATATGACAATCATTACATGTATGTCTTAACCTCTTAAATAGACCAAAAAAATATGTAAGAATTAAAGAGAAATAAGAGTCAGTTATTAATGTCAGATTATGGTAATATGGAATTTTTTAGACACGTAACGTTTAAGAACGAACATTTGATTTAAATAAAAAGAGAGCGTAAAAAAACCGCCGTAGATAATTAGAGGTACCTATTGACAACATTACGTCATTATAGTTCTACATAGAAGAATATCGCAAAATAATTGATAATAACTATCACGCCGGTGATACTTATTATCATTTATCATCATGGTGCGTCAACGGGGTGCTTTAAATAATGGAGTACTTTATTAACCACTAGACAACAATAGAATATATACGAAACAATTAAATGCTAAATTAATGTAATGTAAATGATGAAGAGTTGTAAGTAATGTAAAAGTTAACGGTGGAACTGAGACGAACAGCAGGCTACAACTGGAGAAGAGTCGCAAAGGATAGAGAACAGTGGAAAGGGTTAGAGGAGGCCTTAGCCAAGAGGCACACCGAGCTCCGAGATATACTGGAGTGAAAATATATTAAAGATCACAGATCACAGAGTTTCGGAATAGGTATATGGATTTTTGTTTAGTTTTTTTTGTAATTAGAATTTTTTCTTTGCTAAGTAATTGTTTTGTTTTGTAATGTTTGTTTTGTTTAATAATCTCTTTATGATCTCTATATATGTATGCTATGTTTGCCTATAAGTGCTTGTCACATTAAAAATTGTATTTTGTGTTTGTTTCTACCAATGTCTCAGTGTGCCGAGCGTTGGCAAGCTTTATCAATAATAAGGCTATATTATTATTATTATAAATGCTTATGTATAGCTTTGGGTCGTACAGTTATCACTATTCGTCTATTCAGTTCACAGCTAAAACATACCTGCTAGTGATAAACTCTCCCAGTCCTCCAGTAAACTCCTTTGGCGGTTTCCCCACCTTCTCAAAAGCGAATTCCACTAAATCATTCAACAGTTCACTGTCAGCTGGCGTTCCATCTGATTTAAACACGTTGAAGGTTATATCCTGTGGCACAACTGTAATGTTGTTCTCAATGGCCGTGGAGTATATTCGGCTATTAACAGTACCATGAATCCTGGAATTATTATTTTCATCAGACATTTAAGAGAAAATCCTGGCAGATGCACATAAATCATTAGTATGCAAAAAGAGAACAAGTTTCAAAAATACGATGTTTTTCTTATAGGCTAACTGCAGCTTATATTTCTTAGGGAGGGAAAAGGGGGGTGGTCTCCGGGAGGAATCTCACTCACCGCACAAAATGCTAGTAAAATAACGTAATTACATCTACGCTTTAGTTAATAACAGAAAGACAATAACTAACCTTAAAACTTAATAACTAAAATATATTATTAAAAGAGAGTCCCTTTAGGCAAGGTTCCGAAGATACTGGCAGCGTACACCCTTTGAATAGCTAGACTAAATCTTTGTCCGAGGTAGCTGCCAGCTCTTAGGTAAATTAGGTAAATTAGGTAAATTGCATCGGTTTTATGAGATAGCCTCAGTCGTGCCTCATTTGGCTGAAGCCGGAAAGCAACAGCATGGCATTTCCACTAGGAAGGGGGTTGACTTATTGCACTGGTGGTATCTCTGTCACAGATTATTTCACCAGTGGGCGATGGGGTCGTCACATCCCGACGCCGGGAGAACAGCCATAAAAGTCAATCACTGCCCATGAACATCCATCATGGTGGGTGCGTTGCCGGACTTTGGTAAGAGTAAGCTTAGCGTAAATAATAAGAGGTCTTGTCTCCAAGAGAAGACCGGGTGCCAATTCTACTATTCGCTATACTCTGATTTTTCCTCCCGTAGAACACTGACAATTCATAAGTGTTGCTGCTAAAAAAGCCCATTTGAGGGCAATAAAAAATAAAATGCTACGTATTTTTATGTTTTACCTACAAAAAGGTAAATCTAAATATTTCCTTACTCAAGTGACCTCATAAAAAAATAACAAATATTTCAATATCACGAACAATGTAAATTAACTTTAATTACTTTATTTTGTTCTTTAGCCGGCATCACTGCCTACTAATTCTAGGTTTAGTGAACCTTTTTAATAAAATTAAATGTTATCTTAACTTGTGCGTTTTTTACTGTTTGTGATGAAAAGGGACGTAATTATCACTCGCCGTTAAACCACTTTAAATGTGGAGCACCGCAGTAATAAAATGGATACATTAACTAACAATCAAATGTATGTATTACGTAGACTCAGATGTTCAGACTCGTATTTAAATTGAAAAATGTGTCAGGCCGGTTTGCCACCTGACATGTCAAAAAATAGTATTGTCTTTGATTGACATAACCTTTACACATTTAAAGAAAAAGCTTTTTACCGGATTAAAGTTACGTAATAATATCCAAATTAAAATCTCAAAAAGAAAAACAATCCGTGAAAATAGAGGACATCGTGAGCCATTTTTGCCAAAACCCTCCATCTTTTAGTCGATACCAACTCCGGGGAAATAAATACAGATAATGCAACTTTATCTACAGCTGTGATACTTTTTGACATTCAACACCTTTTGTCTTCACTCTTCAGTCACCGTGACCACGCACGCTGTAAAGCACGCGAAACGTCGGATAAATTTAAAATTATGTTAAATAATTGTAAATTTATAATAATACATAACTTTAATCCGGTAAAAAGCTTTTTCTTTAAATGTCAAAAAATGATAGCTGTCAGAATTCAACGGAAATAAAAATTGGATTATAGTTTACAAAAGAAAATGTCTAAGGGAAGGGACCGTGGAAGGCTTCTAGCTATCAAATTGATGAAAACAGCGAAAAATTCTTCAGTACATTCGCCATTTAAAGAAAATATTGGTGCCGGCTGCGTTCCCTTTCATCAGAGTCTTAGAGACAAAAGTGGTACTAAAAAACTCGCCACATTTTTACCATTCTGCACCAACTTCCACAACACCATCACCAAACGGCACAGTCCGAATCCTACCACCGACCCTATCCATGGCTTCGAGGGCCAGAACTTTCTTCCCAGCTTTCACAAGAGTAGTCGCTGCGGTGACGCCTGCGCAGCCGAGTCCAACTACTATGACATCGTATGAATGCATTGTTGGCCTGAAAATATCAGTTATATAACATGCCTTCGCTGATCAGTTACCGCTAGGGGTTCGATTCTTCATGAATCATGTAGGTATTGCTAATATTACTTAATGTATGAAATTGTTGATTTTTTTCTGAAAAATTAACATCTTTAAAATTTGTAAATAAATCAGTGGCGCTACAATCTTTTAAGGTCTGAGCCTCAGATTTCTCTATCTGTTTCATGATCATTTGTCAATCTAATAGGCAAGTAGGTAATCAGCCTCTGTGCCTGACACACCCTACACACACGCTGACACACGCTGAAGCCACTAGGCCACCCTAAGTCATACCAGTTGGCTTCAGCGTGCGACCCTCATCCTAGAGGTGGAAGGTTCGACCTCCGGCTGTGCCAATGGACTTTCTGTCTTTGTGCACATTTAACATTCGTCCGAATGGTGAACGAAAACATCGTGAGGAAACCGGCTTGCCTTACACCCAAAAAGTCGACGGCGTGTGTCAGGTACAGGAGGCCGATCACCTACTTGCCTATTAGATTGACAAATGATCATGAAACATATATGGAAATCTGAGGCCCAGTTCTAAAAAAGGTTGTAGCGCCACTGTTTTATTTATGTTTTATGACTTAGGGGGAAATTCAAAACCAGACCAGAAAATCCACTACTCTCTTGATGTACGGCGTTCAACTTTCAAAGTCTTGTTTCTGTGTCTTATTCAAAGTCCAAAAATATCGAACATTTACATCGCTACTGAAGAATTATAAATATTATTTTCTATTCCAAATTAAACAGAACCAAGCATGTTGATAGCAGACATGACAGCAAGGCAAACAAGGCAGACAGACAAAAACGAACACTGCGCACTACTTTATATTTTTGAAGTGAAACTTCTTTATATTTTATGCAAAATAATTTATTGAAATCTCAAATATCGAATTGTAAATTAAAATGCCACGTGTTTTTATTATCGAAGAAATAATTTAAAAATTAAATTTATTATTTGTATTAACTTTCGAATATTTTAATGACAATTAAATTCCTAACATATCTTCCTTTTTCCTTTCCTCTAAAGTTTTAGATTTGTATAAATATTAACAATATTAAATATTAGTTCGCTAAAGAAGTTTCACTTCTGACATGTGTACTTTGTACGCACACACTGTTTTTTTATTTATATATTTAGTGTTATCTTTATGTGTTTATTTGTGTTCTTAATAATAGATACTTCTTTCAATAGGCTTCTATTCTGTTGGATCGATTTTAAAAAATCACCTCTCCAGTTCTCATAGTACCTGAGTAACATTGTCTATATTTGAATCCAGTTGTGCAAAGACCAGGCCGCCAGTTAAGTAGTTTAGTTGTCACAAAGAAGCCATACATTATAATTATATACTATGTACAGATATACTGCGTAACAGAGAACACACGACATAGAAAAACACAATACATGTATGTGCAACAACAACAAGTGTGCACAACATTTAGTGGGAAACATTACAATGATAAAATAAAAAATAAAATATGTTTATTATGGAACATAAGATACAGGTATCACTTATTCCACGTCATTAAATTTGAATAGGTAGACATCCCTACTCATCAGCAAAGGAGACAGAGGGTGTAGGCCGAGAGAAAAAGCTGGCGTAAAAAACTCTCGGTACTCTTTTAAAATAGCAAATCATCAAACACTTGTTTAAAAAAAATCGCAAATTAATTAGAAGTCGCCTGTCTAGCACTAGTCCCAGACCCTTTTATCAACTAGATAATCGTTAACTTTATAGTAAGCCTTTTTACACAGCTTTTCTTTAATTGGTACATTTCTTAAATTTATTAAAAGGCAGAGATAAAAGAGCCTCTGGGATTTTATTAAAGAAGAGTATCCCTTTTCCCAAAAAATAATCACTAACTTTAGATAGTCTAGTACCGGGAAATTGCAGCCTGCGTTTGTTCCGAGTCATTGTGCGTACGTCTATTCTATATACAAGAGAAAAAAAAAAGACAATAAACTAGATTAAGGAATACAAAATATATGAAATGTAATATATTTCTACTTTGCAATTGTTATTGTTGGTTGGTTTTTAGTCTGTTTTGCATGTGTAAAATTTGTTCTATTATTATAAAGCTAAAAGCTTATTTAAATTTGGCCTAAAGGCCTAGATACCAGGCCATAAACTCCAAAAAAAAAAAAGCTTATTTAAACGGGCTAATCTCAGGAACAATTTATCGACTATGACCATGTAACAACTCGCTGTTATCTATTATAAAAGTACACATCTCCCTCTTAATCAGTTACAATGTTTCCTTTGCGGCTACTACTTGTTTTATCGGTGGCCAGTTATAGGTGAGTTTAAAGATTATGTTTACCTGAATGGAATTCTGTAATCTATGGCTTAACCATAGATATATACTATTTATCATTTACTATATATTTTATAGTTTATAGTTTAGATGTTTTAGTTTTTAAGTAAATTCGCGAACTTAAATCATGCCAAATAACTTGATTAAAGGAGTGGACATAAACAATAGAATCACTACCTGTTACGTGTGGTTTAAAACGTGGCGCGAATAAATATAACGGGCTGCGAGTCCAAGTACGACTGGACGTACATTAAATTTGTAATTAAAACCTTGTATTTAACACCTTGTATTTAAAAAGTCACACAACTATTACAATTCACGAGAATTTATAATAATAAAAACTATAAGTGACCCTTCAGAACATATGGTTCGTACCATAGTTGCACAATACATTTGAAAAAATGCAAATAATTGTGTATAAAAGTTATTCTTGAAACGTCATTTACTATCTTTTTATATAGAACAGGGGGCAAACGGGCAGGAGGCTCACCTAATGTTAAGTGATACCATAGACACTCTGAGTGCTAGAGGACTCGCGAGTTGCCCGCGTTTTAAGAATCGGTACGCTCTTTTCTTGAAGCAACCTGTCTAGTATGTATCAACAGTCAAAGACAATGTGTCATCAAATTTTTTCCCACTCGGCACTCTTTCGTTCACCTTGTTCTAGTGAAATTCCGGATCCACTTCATCAATTGCGCTTGGCAAATACGTATTAAAGATTAATAAAAAGAAATAATAACAAAATTAGTGTCGCTACCACCTCTTTAGGTGTTGGCCTCAGATTTCTGAATCTGTTTCATGATCATTTCATTAGGCAAGAAGGTGATCAGCCTCCAGTGCCTGACACACGCCGTCGACTTTTTGGTGTCTAAGACATCGATGTTTTCCTTCACCGTTCGAGCAAATGTTAAATGCGCACATAGAAAGAAAGTCCATTGGTGCACAGCCGGGGATCCATCCTACCTCAGGGGGAGAGTCGCACGCTGAAGCCACTAGGCCAACACTGCTCTAAAGATTAATAAACAAATATATGAAGCTTCTAGACGTTCCATACAGGTCATAGGTGACAAATGATAAATAAAGGCCGCATTGATTATTATTAAATACTGATAAGATGTTTATTTTGTATCAAAACAAGCGAAATAATATCGCATTTATAATCTCTTTTGCGAAAAAAACGGGTACCTAAGGAAATTTACGTTTTAACGTTTATTTAGTTAATTAAATGAAATTGAATTGTCTGACGTAGTCGTACTGATAATTGTGTAAATTAGGTAATACGCGGAGACAAATTTTTAATTATTTTTTGATGAATTCTTGTATACCAAACACGGTCTAACAATAACAAGTAGTCGGTAATAAAGATAAGAACATTTTTTTTACTTTTTAATTAAATAAAGCTTCAAATGTAAGAACCTAATAACGAGTGTCTATTACTTTTAATCTTATAAATTAATACGCGTGAAGTGAATTCTGGCAATTTTTTATATATTTTTAAAGAATTCTTCAAAATTATATACACAGCCAAACAATAAGTGGTCGGAAATAAATCACAGCTTGGCGTGCTTTTCACGATGTTTTAATAATGTTCCCACTCTTCTGCAATTACTATTTTTAGCTTCCTGATGTTTTGTTGGGCAGGTTGCACTGATCTTACGCGTCTCTTTAGAACATGCCAGACATAGGTACCTCACAGGAAATCACACTCAAAATTAAAAAATATAAAAAATCTTCATGTATTTATTGCCGACCACTTATTGCTTGGATGTGTTCATCGGTTTTTAAAGAATTCATCAAAAATTTATAAAACAATTGCAAGAATACACCTCCACGTACTAATTTACAAGATTATGTGTACAAGTACGTCAGACAATTAAATTTCAATTAATTAACTAAAATCGACCTTATAACGTAGTTTTCCATAGGCGCCCGATTTTTTTTTTTTTTTTGCAAAAGAGTTAGTTAGGCTATTTGACAGTTTGAAAAATAAAGTGTTATTAAGAGTAATCTCTATTATAAAAAGCGAGAGAAAAAACTTGTAAATAATCATTAATTTATCAAAATTTAACATAATTAAAAATATTGTGACACGAAACGGTCACAGATTAGTCAAATCGACGACAACGATTCAATGCTTGTACTAAAGTCGCGTTTCTGAATCTCACCCATCCGAAGTTAAGCCGAAAGACTTTCATATGAAATTTAGATTTCGATTTTTAGGTAATTCACTGTAATGTAATCCCAAATCTCAGTTAAAATAGTAGGTATCACCAAAGTACAAGTAACTAAGTCTTAATTGCTTTGTTGACGATTACAATTGTTATAATTGACAGGAAATTATTATCTCATTGTCAATTTCGACAATAATCAATTCCGGAGTCATTGTAAGAAATACAAAACAACATACGTGTTACAACGATACATATAAAGCTTACATTTCATTATTTTTTTAAAAACTTACACATAACAATACATTAAATATTTCAAAGCAACTTGGTTTATAAATACTAAAAATAAATCAAAGTATTTCTTCATACCACAACGTTGAATCAATCTTGAAACGTTATTAAGGCAAACTATAAAAAAAAAATGCTTTTAACTCACGCATCAGAACCATTAACTAGTTTTATTTTATGTAATATTCTAGCAAGCAAAGATTTAAGACTAAAATTGAATTGTTAATACAGAAGTTATAAACGCCTTATAATAAAAATTTCTAAACGTATTTGTCAAAATATCTTCTTCAAATCACTAATACAGAATACTCATAAATTAGTATATTTATCTGTGGATAAATAATGGATGACAATAAATGACAATCCTAATTCCTACATGACATATTATAAATTTTATTTTTATTATGCTCGATAAAATCCAATAAAGTAATGTGATATATATGTTTAATAATCCCCACAAATAAGATAATAATTGTTGTAATAAAAAATACTTAAATTATTCTATTACATTAAAACTTACACACTGTAAGAGAAAACGTGCCAACATATTATATGCAATAAATAATGTGGACCGATAGGGTTTGTGAACAATGAATATTTTTTTGTTATTTCTTGTAATATTTTATTCGGATAAATCATTATTTAAAACTATTAGTACTTACATGTTTTTATCTTAAGATTTTGTCACTTAACAATTTTCACTATCAAATCACATGATATTAGGTCAAATTCATGTATCTATTAAAATTAAACAATATAATTATGTGTTTATGTAATAGATAATATGAAATTATAAATGTACTATGTAGTAAATGGTACTTAGATGTAACCTCTTATCTTTTTAAGCGAAGCAGTGTTCACAACCTGAAGCCAGGCAGTTATCGTACCAGGGCCGTAAAATTATCGTATATGTGATCCATATACGATAAATTATCGTACAGTCAGGAAAATGGCTAAAAATACTTTAAAAAATCATATGAAACGTGAAAATAAAATGTTGCAAACGATTTATAGTTTAAATCTTGTAAACTTGTGTTCTTCAAATTGAAAAAAATCATAATAATTCAATCTCTTTCGTCAAAGAGGAACAAAAATACGCAATATTTTCTCGTTGAACAATATGGTGTTCGCTCTAAGTGATATACCTATTGTCCGTAAACATCGCATATTATTTTTATCACTTAAAATTCGTTAGGTATTAAAATGTTATCGAAGACTTCCAAATCTGCGTCACCATACAAATCGTGAATTTTTTGGCTGTGCATTCTGATGCGTTTTTGTGCAGATGAACAAAGCGTTAATGTACAAAACATTAACGCTTTGTTCATCTGCTGTAGTTGCCTTGCGACAGCATAAGTTCCTAATAGAAAAATAAGCCAATAGATGGCACTGACACTAAAAACTGTAATTGTTATTGGGCTATCTGTGTAATCATCAAATTTTTTATCAGACTGGAAATTATCGTACAATCTGCGTACGATAGTCATGTACCATCGTACATCGTACGTAGTTATGAAATTATCGCAAATGTACGATAATTATCGTACGGTTGTGAACCCTGAAGCGAAGTGACATTTTCGTAACTAGATGGCGTTTTTGACCAATAATGTCCACAGATAATCCTGTTGAACCTTTCAGATAATAACATAGAGAGTTGAGACTCCCATTTCCCATTTTAACTGACATACAAACAGAGAGTGTTTACAATAATTGGTCTATCAGATTTGGGTTATTTTAAATTAAACATCTTTCGTGACAAATATTTAAAATGGTTTCATTTAATTTGGTTAGTGGAATTAATTACTTAATTAGTCATACTTGCAGTTTAAAATAATTGAAGTCTAATTACAGGAATACATAACTACAATAAGGAAAATACTTACCATTAAGAAGAAATTTGTTACAATTTTAAATTACCTATTTTAATGACATTATTAGTAAATACTAATTATGTTATTATTGTTGTTACATTATCTACACCTTATCTATATATACCTTTGCAGTAGTTATAGTTAATTTGTAGAAATATGAGTGTTTTTAGAAAGTGCATTATTGTTGATGTTAGAAAAGCTTTGAGAAAACTTAGTATTAATACATGTGTGAAATCATAGTATGTTTGTGAAAAAAATATTGGTTTTATTTAATTCATGCTGTGAAATCTTATATTGAATCCACATGAGAGCTAAATTAGTATTGATTATTATTAATAAAGGAAAATTACTATTTCAGCTCATGCATTCCCCAGCCATACGACTCAATAGTGGTAGGAATGGGGTCCGCTGGGGTCACGGCAGCCACAATATTGGCCAAAGCTGGCAAGCGAGTGCTGGGCTTAGAAGCAATGGATCGAATTGGTGGAAGAGTGAAGACAGTACAATTTGGGGGAGGTATTATTGAAGAGGGAGCTGAATGGTAAATCATCTCTTTATCAGCTAGTCTTCTGGTTTTTAGGAGATAATTGTGATAAAATAAATGAATAATTTGATTTATTTTATCACAATTATAATTTTGCATTGTATTCTTGCAATGAATTAGATAGATCATTCTAATAGATTTCAATATTTTATTTTGTTTGTCTGCTTTCTAATTTAGTACGAACCTGCTCAAATTGATATGTTTATAAATAGTGAATTAAAAATAAACACACAAATAAAATCTTATTATCTGCAAAATCATTTTGAAGTTATATAAGGGAAAAATGATGAGAGTAAATTTTTACGACGCGCGCGCCCACCGTCAAACAAAACCGACACCCTGACGTTAGCTATAGTCAACATTTTAGTTTTTCTATTGTTAGTCTCGTTTTTTTTAAAACATAGAATAAATTTTTTATCTTGTTACGCCAATAAAGTATAACTTGTAACGCGTGTACACACCCGTTTACTATACGGTATGATAGCTCTCTATAAGGTATATTGTGAATTGTCACCGAATACAGGTCTTTATTTTCCATTAACTTTCAGGATTCACGGAACACAAAACAGCCGCGTATATGATTTAGCTGTACAGAATAATATTACAGTTATACCTCAGGACTTCGATTTTCTTATTTTCCGCTCAGATGGGAACCAGACATTGATGCCAGTTTATTACGAACTTTTTAATCTCTGCTTTGAAAAGGCTGTAAATACAAGTGATGTATCCTTTGAGAGTACTGCTGATTATTTGACGGCTGAGTAAGTAATCTATTTTCTATGGCTTGGTATTAATTAATGCTTAATGTGCATATATGCTGTAGGGTGCTGGCTTAACACCAGAACCATTTTTAGATGAGTAGTGCAGAGGGTAAGGGAGCGTTCAAGTATTACGTCACGCAATTTTTGGATATTATTGACCCATTATGGGGGGGGGGCCCCATGTGACGCGCCGTAACGTTTTTCTGTACCCAAGTAAACCGTTTCGTGACCACCCAGTGACTCTTTATACCTAAAAGTTACCATTATGTGATGTCGAAAATAATATTAACAATAACGCGTCATTCAATCCCCGCCCCGCATCGTAACGTTTTACAAATAGATAACCCGTCCGATAAAAATCGTCCCTAGTCAGTTTAATTTTAATAAACTTCGAGATTTTCAGCGTACTCAATTACTCGTATATGTCCCACTAATAGCCATAGGCCTCCTGTCTTAGGCGAGAGAGAATGGTCTATAGTCCCCACGCTAGCCCAATGCGCATTGGAGACTTCACATTCATCCAGAGAACATAATATCTCTTGGGCAGGGGCTCTCTTAGGTCGGGGGCCCCTGGCATTTTGCCAGCCCTGCCACCCTATTTTTACGCAACTGCTTATTACTTCATTAAGAAGGGCGTGGCTTCATTGGCGCCGGAATCTTATCATCTGGTTGATCGCAATAATAAAATTGCGGACTCATGCACCTCTGATTTGAACGAAGAGCTACTTGACAAGATCGAACGCCTGCAGAATTTCTGCATACGTTTCATATTTGGTCTTAGAAAATATGACCATGTGTCTAAATTCCGCAGGCAGCTGGGGTGGCTACCTATTCGATTCAGACGTCACGCTCATCTTCTTCAACTTCTATACTCAATTCTTATCTCAAAAATCACTTCAAATTCTTAGGTCCTTCTAACTATATGTTACGCTCTTCTAATAGATGTTTATTGGAAATTCCATCCCTCACTTCATCCTTCTTAGGCAATTCATTTACGATCTCCGCCATTAAGTTGTGGAATACGCTGCCTGACTCCGTACGATTGGCTACCTCTCTGTCATCTTTTAAAACTCTTCTGTATAATCATTTCTTAACCTTATCCTATCCTCATCAATCGTGACTTGTATAATTCTTATGATTCCTTTTACATCACTATTCGATGTTCATGTATTTGTAAGATTAGTTTTTAGTTTGTTATTAATATTTTTTTTTGTATTGCTTTAGATTAAGGATTCTGCACTTCTCGCACGCATCATGTGTCTTTTTTTTTTAGTTTTTCTCTTAACTAGGGTTGCCTGGAAGAGATCGCTTATTAGCGATAAGGCCGCCCGTTGCATCCCTTATAATTTTTATGTATTGTGTTTCTTATATTATTAGCAACGAAGTGTAAATAAATAAATAAATAATATATTCATAATTCTAAACACTATAGCATATAATAATTTCAGAATAATATCATATATAAAAAAGAACTACCCACACTTAGAACATGACAAGCAATTCATAGATGAATTTTTGGATGTCATGAATCTCTTCATAAATGCATATGAAGCGTCATATGACTGGCATGACGTCACGACGAGGTCAACAGCTGAAGAACTTGGCGGACATTTGCATATGAGCTGGCATAAGTTTGGATATAAAACCTTTTTCGAGTTGATGCTAGTAAGTGAAAATTAAATATCTTGTCTTGCCCAGATTTTGTACTTTCTTGTGTTAGATTAAGTGATTCTATGCTTTCCATTAGACGGCACATGATATAAAGACCACTGAACAAATAGAATCAACTATGTACTTATTCAAAACAGAACAGTTTAATTATATTTAGTACAGTACTTTTAAGTAATATTAAGGTGTTTGTATTAATTTTTAGAACACATATAACAATGGACCAGGCCTGCAAAATTTGGACATAAAATTAAATACTGAAGTGACTAAAATCATATGGCCAAAAGACACATCCGGTGAGGTTAAAGTTGTTTGTGCAGATGGACAAACATACACAGCAAACAATGCTATAGTAACCGTGTCATTGGGAGTGCTGAAAGAGAGGTAAAGATTTTAATAGTTTACCTTCAAAATTTCAAAATAATATTTACTTGAGGGTAGAACAAAAAAGATGAGAGTTCCACGCAGTTCATGCCACTTATGTTTGCATTACTAGACACATAAAGAGAAATTTATTTTAGATGTATAAATAAAATTAAAGTTGATGGAATTTTATTAAGATTTTTTATATTTAAAAATAGGTTTTTACTTTAAAAAATTAACATAGTCTAGATCTGTGTTTCCCAATGTGAGACCCACGCCCCACAAGGGGCAATCTATTGTTAAGGGGGGATATTCAAAAATGATTTAAATTTTCAATTATATGTTTTGAAAATTTACTTACTGTTTTACCTATTATTTAAGTTTTTTAAGTGAAAAATTTAATTTTCTTACAATAGGGAGAGGGCATGAAAGGTTGGGAATCACAATGTGGCCGGTTGTGAGTAGAGTAGGCTAAGACTGAAAAACCCTATTCAGACATAGATTACAAAGTATGACTTAAAAATGAGACAAAACCACTTTTCATTGGTCACGTGACGAAGCGGGAGCCAATGACATTTTCATAAAAAATATTTTTGCTGTAGTGGGTGACCGCAAAGTGATTTTGTCTGAATCCCCTGTATTATTAAATAAATAAAAATACACAACTGCCAGTGTCATGAGGATTTTGACAATTACAGATACGACACGCTATTTTCACCAGAATTGCCAGACGACAAAATTACATCGATACAAAAAATGTCGATTGGTTTAGTCGATAAGGTTATTTTGAATTTTCCCCACAAGTGGTGGGATCAAAACAAGGTTTACGTTATGATCGAGGCTGATAAATCCAATGATCTATGGTTTACGAGACATGGGGATGTTTCCACGCCCCTCGCTCTAGACACAGCCTTGACTATATGGTTGGCGGGTGAAGCCGCTAAGACGGTCAGTTCCATATTGTTTTAGGGATTGACAGCTATTATTAATTAACTACTGGCCATTCTATGGGTTTGATAATGTTTTATATGCTGCGTCAAATATTTGGAATATCTTACCGCGCGAAGGAAGCGTACAAGTATTATGTCACGCAATTTTTGGAGATTCTTGACCCTCCCCCCCCCCATGTAACGCACCGTAACGTACTTTACAACCCTCCCCCCCACAAATTCGTTACATAATACTTGAACGCTCCCTAAGGTATTAAACTAAAATTCCTTATTTGAATTAAACTTATGTCTATATACGTTTAAATTTTATTCAAACAATATGTAGTACCCGCATAAAATGTAGCAATTTGACGACATTTTTTATATTAGATTTAATACATTGTCAAACGTAGTTATGTATAGAGTGGTCGCTTGGCTTGGCTTCTTCGCTTTCTCGCATTTTCACAAACACGCTTGTCCATAATTACTCAAATGTCAATGTATTCATTTATCAGAGATAATGTAACAGGATGTCATTCATTTTATTAGAATGGCAATATCATAGACATCTTACAGAAAATTGTCATTGTCAATCTGTCAGCAGTGTGTTAGATTGCATGCATATTTTTTCTTGTATAATGTACGTTGTCGTGTTATAATTCCTTAAAAAGCGATCCCAGTATTATTCAGAGCTATAGATAGAGTTATTCTTAGTAAAATAAATATTTACAGAATACCAAAAAATTCACTAATAGAATTCCTTAATATCTGTGAACGAATAAAATTATTACTTTTCATTATTCACACAATGCCTGTTGTATCATTTATATAGTTATTTTCTAATATTTGTAGAGCAACCCATATTTACTAATAATTTGATTACACGATGTACACAACTATCTTCAATGTATGTACTGTATATTATACTTTTATTTATGTGACTATTTTTCCTTTTCTGTGGATTAAATGTTTGTTGGATATTGGAGAGAACTTCATCAAAAGAATTGGGTTCAGTCATACTGTTATATTAAAATCTTTCAATCATTTATTAAACCAGTGCACGGCTTTCAGATACGTCATTTTTCATCCTCCTCTACCCAAAGACAAAATCATGGCCATAGATAAAATTGCATTTGGGGTTGTTAATAAAATAATCCTTGTATTTGATGAAGCTTGGTGGCCCAATCGTTTGTATTTTCCATGCATATGGTATACTGAAGATAGAGTAAATTTATCGGAAAGTGATCTGTGGTTGTCCCAAATACGTGGGGCAAGTACATCTTTAGCTTGCAAAAACTCGCTTACTCTATGGATTACTGGTTATGCTGGCAAATGGGTTAGTATTTAAACCTCCTAAAGTATATATTATGGACTGTGGACACAGATTTTACCTTCTATGTGCGTAAGTTAACGGGAATGGACAACTGTCGAAGTAGACTTGGGGAGAAATTGGCTATGCCAAAAATTATCTGGAATTGTATAGGAAAAACACCTTTTGTATAGCAATCAAGGTTTATAATAATTTACCAAAAACATTAAAAGATCTTCCTATTAGAGTTTTTAAAAATCCACTTAATACTTTTGGACAAAAAATATTATTCTTTGAATGATTATTTGCGATTCATGATTATTTGAAACATTATAATTAATATTAATTTGTAATATAATAATATATTTTAATGCGATGAATGTGAAATGTAATTGTAAATTCAATTCTATCTTTTTAAACAACTTTAAATTGTATATACGATAACATTTTTTACTATATTCTTGTTAAAATTATTATTACGCCGCATCTTACACCGACATTTTTCATGCATGACGGAACTGTAAAGATTAATTTACATATTTTAGCTCGATTATAAAAATCGCATCAAAAACTATTGCGTTGTTAAGATCTGTGACACATGTACCTGAATTTCCAGCACACATACTTTTTAAAATGATTTATTTATGTTTTTATACTTTCCACAGGCAGAGACATTGACAGATGAAATAGTTCAACAAAAATCCATGGAGTTGCTAAGACGCTTCATGGGCAAGAACTACACTATACCGGAACCTAATGGAATTCTGAGGTATTTTATTTATTTAATAAAAGCCCTTTTAGTTCAGATACTAGATAATTTAGGAGACTGATAGATATTATAAAACATTACAGCGAAACGAGCGGCCTTATATTGCCATTAAGCGATCTCTTCTAACCCTTATAACAGAAACCATAAACAAAAATAATTTATAAGAAATGCAAGGGCGAAACCAAATTAAATTTGTATAAAAAAACAGAATATAATGCCCTTGATTGTATTATTTACTAATGTTTATTTCATTTAAAATATGCAAAATCTAAATATTCTTCTATATTCGTATCATAACACTTCAGAATGATTCACACGAATTTACATTCTTATCTATGGCCCGAGGTTTTACTTGGGTACGAACACTAGTTTATGATAATATTTCTTCGTATTGTTGATAGTAATATTTGCTAGTGTAGAGAAGATATTGGTGACCTCGACCATATTTTCTTTTCTTGTTCCCAATATGACCGCACCTGATTTCTGAATTCCTCACAATTACTTCATGTTCCGTTTCCGACTAAAATCTCCTACCTTTTGCTTTATCCTTTATTATATAATGTATTATCTTCTTTCATAATAAATAATAATAATCTTAAGATGTAATATTTTTGTGTACATATTTTGTTTTTAACCAGGTTTATTTCCTTTTGATGTCTTTTTTTTTTCTCGCGTGTAGTTTCCCAACCTTTTACTTGAAACTGGCATAAAGTTAAAACTATTGCCATAATATGAAAAAAAAACACTAGTTTATCTATTTTGAAAAATGGTTACGTTTTATGGGACAAAATGGAAGGTCGCACCTTTTAGACCTGATAGAGTGACATTGAGAGTCGAAACTTAGTGTGAACTATGACTTGCGTATGTCAAATGTCAAAGCTTTAAAACGTAATCAGCGCTAAGTCAGAAAAATAATAAGAGTTATAAAAATTTCAGATCGAAATGGCACTCCAACCCTTTCGTCCGTGGCAGTTACACCTACGACAACCTAGAGACCCCTAAATACCCTAAAGCTAGGGAGAATTTAGGAGCTCCACTATTAGACGCTAGTGGGACCCCTAGAGTGCTATTCGCGGGTGAAGCGACCAATCCCTTACATTATGCTACCGTCCATGGCGCAAGTGAGACTGGCTACAGAGAGGCAATGAGATTATTAAATGCCTAAAGATGTTTTCTTAAGATAAATTATATTATCCAAAATACAACCGTGTTTTATTTTACAGTACATAACAGTATTAAGAAATTAAAAAAATAATAAACCATTGGCGCTACAACCATTTAGCTCTGGGTCTCAGATTTCTGTATGTTTCGTGTATGATTTGTTTTTCTTATAAGCAAGCAGGATGACCTTTCTAAAAATAAATCATTTATTTGCCAAGATAGTGGTACAATTAGATCGAACAACAAGAAAAATCCGCACAATCAGCCATATAGAAAAATAGGCATGCAAATGTCATATAATTTTTTTGCAATGTCATATAATAAGAACATTAACATAATGTCATAATAAGAAGTTAAGTCATTTATAATTGTTAACTTATGGTCTAAATACTCGCTCACGCTATAAAAGCACCTTCCCCTTAAAAACATTAGATGGCAGCGATCTATTTTTTTGAGTAATAAAAACTTTACTCACGTCTACCGAATTTCCCCATAAAAGGATACCATATCGCAAAACTTAGGTAAGGGCCTATCTAACGATATAAATCTATGGCCGTGATAAGCAATAATTGCTGCGTGTTTTGAAGCCACTTTGCGAGTTCGACTCAAAGCAAAAACAAATTTATTAAGGCGCGTGAGTAAAGGAACGGCAACGGACTTTTGGTTTAAAAATAATTTATTTAAATCAACAGAGTGACAGCACTTAATTAAGAACTAAACAATAATCAACTTAATATCTATTTCTTCGTGCCTTTATACATTCAGATTTACTTACTAAGTATTGGTCGTTGCTGACGCACGACCTACATTCGGCTTAGTGCTAGCAAAGCATATATTAATAGGGTTGGTACTCTTAACTCCTCCCTCCCTAAGAGAGAAATTATCCGAAGGGGCTAAAGGTGACTTCGGAGAATTTCTTTTATTGCAAATAGAATACAATTTAAACTTTAATATTATAACAATTACTATTATTACTACTATAAAATAAAGAACTAATGTCCATACACTTATGTTATGTGTCACCACACTTTCCACCACTATTTCACTATTGCTATTTCTCACATTATTTAACATTTCTTTTACGTCACTGAAGTCCACGTTTGTCAAATCTAACTTTTTATCTGCCGTTGCTAAATCTTCCTGAAGTTCGGGAATCACCACCAGTGGCATCTCTCTATATTCACATCCGATACATTGCTTGATTGACCGAAGATCGTTCTGCCAATTTGCATGTTGCACCCTTGACTTGGCGTCACGATGTAAGTCCCCAGTAAACTGAATCGACGGATGTCGTTTCTGCAGTGTTCTGACAAAATTATTTTATCTGCTGTGAATATCAACCAGCTATTATTCATTATCTTCTGGATTTTTAGCTTCTCAATTCGTATTTGATGTTGATGACATAGGCTGTAATTATTCTTTATTAACATTAATTCCTCGATACATGTTTCCTCATTGTCTGTTGCCATATTTTCTTCTGAACATAAGTATTTGTTGTCTTCTATACTCTCGCAAGGGCTCAACACATTTCTGTATTTCAAACCATTCACCAAAAGGTAAGGATATTTAGGAATAATTGTGTAAGTTTTAGAGGATTTTGTTATAGGAATGGGAGTAACCTTGTAATAGTTATACGTTTCTGATTCTATCAAAGGAATTTCTAATACAAATACTAATTTATTCTTATCAATATAAGACTTTAATATAATATTACTTCATTCAGTGTTGGTGATACAGGTGCTAGGCTTTTAGAAGCTCTTAAAAAACTCGTAAATAAAATGCTTTGCGGGGAGATAAACCAAGCTATTGCTCCTATTTTATATGGGGCAAACTTGGTGGCTCTTACCAAAAAAGATGGTGGGGTGAGGCCAATTGCTGTAGGTAGCACTTTTCGCAGATTAACCTCGAAAATTGCAGTAAAACATATAATTAGTAAATTGAACAAAATTTTTGAACCAACACAACTTGGCTTTGGCACTAAAGGTGGATGTGAAGCTGCTATACACGCTTTGCGCACGCTTTTTTTCTAACGAAAAATTTGATGTGTTGTTGAAAGTTGACGTCAAGAATGCATTTAATTCAATCAGCAGGGACACCTTGCTGACTAAGTCTTTTGAAAACATTCCAGAAATATATAACTATCTTTTACAGTGTTACTCAGAGCCATCAAAATTAACATACAAGAGTTACGAACTCTCTTCAGAAGTTGGTTGTCAACAAGGTGATCCTCTTGGGCCGGCTATTTTTAGTCTCGCAATAAATTCTTGCATACAAAATTTAAAATCAAATTTTAACGTCTGGTATCTTGACGATGGTACTCTAGGAGGTAACGCAGATGTAGTACTTTCAGATCTATCTAAAATAATATCAGATTTTAGTTCAATGGGTCTAACTTTAAATTTTGATAAATGTGAAATATATCTCCATGGTGAGAATATGGACACCGACCATACAATAAAAAAAATTAATACCTTAGCCCCAAATATAAAAATAATAAATAAAAAATCGCTGTACCTCTTAGGAGCACCGATTTTCAAAGAAGGTTTTGAAGAATACATTAACTCGACAATATCAAAATTTAAAGATCTTTCTCACCGTCTTCTGGATATTACAGCACACTCAGCTTTGTTCATTTTAAAATTCTGCCTTTTTATTCCCAAATTAACTTACGTACTTCGCTGTAGCCCTCTATGGAATCATTCAGTTTTTTTAAGTGATTTGGATAATCTTTTAAAAACTTCTTTGGAATCTATTTTAAATGTTCGTTTTGATACACCTTCTTGGAATCAAGCATCGCTTCCTGTTCGCTTTGGCGGATTAGGAGTACGCAAGATAACAAGTGTAGCTCTTCCAGCGATTCTCTCATCTGCTCACAAATCTAGCAGTCTGGTAGGTAAAATCCTTAGATATTATTCTACAAACTACGAGATTGCGGATTTAACAGATGCAAGAAACGCGTGGATAGCATCCAACCCAGGTTTGAGTTTGCCTTCTAGCGTCAACTTTCAAAGAAGCTGGGATGATCCTCTTTGCAAATGTGAATTCAAAAAGTTATTAGGTCACATTCCAATAACAGACCGTGCAAGGTTGATGGCTGTGGGGTCTAGGGAAGCTGGACATTGGCTTAATGCTTATCCTTCGCCAAACACTGGCACCCTTTTAAACCCTGAATCACTTCGAATTGCCATCAGCCTACGCTTAGGAGTGCCCATATGTACTCCCCATAAGTGTCCCTGTGGTTTTGAAGTAAGTAGCCTTGGACACCATGGCCTACACTGCCAAAAGAGTGCAGGTCGTTTTTCTCGCGACATTATACGCCGCTCTCTTGCCTCTGTCAATGTTCCAGCAATTTTGGAGCCAACAGGCATCGCAAGAGACGATGGCAAGCGGCCGGATGGAATGTCTTTGATCCCTTGGAAAATGGGACGGGCTTTAGTATGGGATGCTACCTGTGTAGACACCTTTGCCCCGTCTCATCTCCTTCGGACAAGCAAAAAAGCTGGCGCGGCCGCAGAACAGGCAGAAATTAACAAACGGCACAAATATAAGAGTCTTTCCTCCAACTTCAATTTTGTTCCCTTTGGAGTAGAGACTCTTGGGCCGTGGGGTTCAAGTGCACAGGCGCTTATTAAAGATTTAAGTTGGCGCCTGGTAGATAGTACCGGTGACCACAGAGCTGGCACTTTCCTGGCTCAAAGAATAAGTCTCGCAATACAGCGAGGAAATGCTGCCAGCGTTAAAGGTACACTGCCACAGGGACCAAACTTTTTAAATTTGTTTTGATTTTCTTCTTTCTTCTTTAATTATTTTTATTATTACTTTATAGGTTAAGAACATTGTAAATACTGTATTTGTGTAAATAATAAATAAATTAAATTTATATTACGTTCTAATTTAAGTAAGTTGTTTTTTGTTACTGGATAAATTGTTTGTGCATGTTTTTCTATCACTTTAAAAACACCTAATAACTCTGTAGAATTAATAATAGATTGGTGTAAGGTGTGCAATTTACTAAATGCAATAGCAGTTTCAATTTCTTGTATGCTCTCATAAATATAACGAAAGTTATTTAGAATCTGGTATTTAACTGTAATTCTACTATTCTATTTAGTTATATATATCTGTGCATATTTAATTCTAATTCTTACTTAATAAGTTTAATATCTAATGTCTTAATTATTATCCACTTATCATATGAAATAAGGGCGGTTTCTTCTCTGAGAGGGAGAACGCCTGGATTCTTCGCAACCTTTTGAAGTTAAAGGGCCCGGATCGTTACTGCCTGGGTCACTACGAGGACTAACCTGTGGGGGACGTTTTATGTCCTTAAACAATGATCGATGCGCTTTGTTTTCGTAATAAATGAAATATTTAATTTTAGGTTTAATATATTCTTTGAGGAATTCCGAATTATTTAATGCTAAGTATATTTCTGAAATATTTTGTTTTGGATGAGATTTAATTTTAACAAAGAGTTCATTTTTATACCATGTATGTATTAAAAATAGTTTTGGTTTAGTATTTATGGCTTCTTTGAGGATAGGAGTCATATCATCTGCGGAATGTACTGTGTCTGTACTAGAGTTACTTGTTAGTGTACGAGATGATGACCGGGAATTAATTCGAGATGGAATATCACGTTCATCTATACGACCAGTTGTTTCAGACCTAGATGCTTCAGAGAAAGACATAGAATTACTATTTTCATTTTCCACATTAACTACCATTGATTGGTTATCTTTATCGGTTTTTCCTAGTGCATTTAATTTTGGAATAATTATATGAGGTAAATTTAGTTTTGTATAATTTATTTTTATCTTTTCGGTATTGTTGAGGCTATCATAAAAAAAATTCCTATTTGTTCATGGTTCGAACTAGTCGGGTTCGATTCACAGTTATAAGAACAAGATGGTTGAATATTATTATCAGTATCAATGTAATTAACGCGTCTTGAACTGGCTGTTCTCATCGTAATATCGGTAATAGAGGTCGATGGCATAGGCGATTCTTGGTATTGTAATCCATTGTTCGTAAAATGCCGACGCTGCTGTGACGACTGTTTTACCGGTGACCTAAATACCGTGTTATAATTGTTGCGATTATTTAATGTTTTATCATTTCTAAATTGGAAAGAATTATTATTTAAATTATTTGAACTATTTGAATTATTTTGATAATTAGATGCATTCGAGTTCCTTTGGACATTATGGGTTGGAGAATTAAAATTATTAACTTGTCTCGGATGAGAATTCCTATTTTGAAATGAATTAAAATTATTATAATTAGGTCTAAAATTTTGATTGGACCTTGGGTTCTTACTATCATAAACCGTTTGAAAATTTTGTTCTTCCAACACGGTTTTTAAAGCATCTTCCAGCGTGGTAACATTACGTAATCTCACTAATCTTACAAGGTACGCTGGTAAATTAAATAAGAAAACGTTTAATGCCGAATTATTATATATCGCTTGTTTGGCCTGTCTTATTTCGGGATTGTTAATGGTTTCATTTATTTTGGAGAATAAAATACTCCTTAAATGTTGGACACGATGACAGAAATCTAAATGACTTTCGTTCTTATCCTTTTTTAGGGAATCTAATTCCATAGCCAGACAATCTTCTGACCTTGGATCGCCAAAGTGTTGGCTTAATAATAACTTAAGGTTATCCCAAGTATCTATTTGTTCCCGTTCCCCAACTAGACTTGCGGCTTCCCCGGATAATCGACTAGTAATTACGTGAAACAGATATTCATTTTGTAAATTGCCACCTTGAAATGTCTGTAAAATATATTCGCATTTTTTAATGAATAATGGTAATAATCTAGAATCACCATCAAAAACAGGAATAATTTTTACCATTTCTACAGGTACTCTTACAATATTTTCCATTTTGAATATAAAAAAAAAAAAAAATTTACCTATAAAATAATTGTATAAACCTAACTTCTATTAACAATATTTTGATTGTTTAATAAAAATATTTTTCCGGCGTTTTCCAATCCGAAATAAACGTATAACTAATACAAGAGGAAAACAAGGAAAGTCACGGGAAGTGAAAAGTTTTACTCACAGTCCTGTTATCTTGACCATGCTCCTCCGGGATACTGCTAGTTCTTGGCTGCTCTTCCACCGATGCCGTGCTGTCCTTAACTTATTTATTTGTTCGGCGATCTCCGTTAAAACGTACGTTACCCGGTTGGTACTAGATCACGAAAAAAAACGCGGTATAACTTCTTCCAGGCAACTTATGGAGATCCTACCGGCTGCGCCAGTAAAGGAACGGCAACGGACTTTTGGTTTAAAAATAATTTATTTAAATCAACAGAGTGACAGCACTTAATTAAGAACTAAACAATAATCAACTTAATATCTATTTCTTCGTGCCTTTATACATTCAGATTTACTTACTAAGTATTGGTCGTTGCTGACGCACGACCTACATTCGGCTTAGTGCTAGCAAAGCATATATTAATAGGGTTGGTACTCTTAACTCGTGCATATCGTTAAAATGTGTTGTTTCCAATTAAGATTTTGGTCTAGTTTTATGCCTAGAAACTTGATTGATACAACTTCTTCAATTGATTCTTTCGTTTCGTTATTCTGAACATGGTGCACCTGTACAAGTATAAGATCCACCACCGATTTGGAGTTTATTAGGCAAGTACGTCTAAATTTAATTTAGACGTAAGTTTTGAGGTCTAAATAATTCCAATTTTAAATATAGCATAGGGTCAAAAAATAGTATATCCAAGATATTCTATTTAGTTATTTTGATAGGAAATAAGAATAAAAATATTTTTTGGAACAGAGAAATAAGTAGAAAATTTAAAAAGAAGTTTTAAAAAAACTTAGGTAGTTTATGCTATGCAAAGTCGGGACAGGTCGTTACTTCATGAAAGCCTTGTTTCTGTTTTAACTAACATACTTATCTGCGTCTAAAGCATAATGTTCAATGAGAAGAAAAGGCAATAAAATAATGGTTTATTTTTTATTATGTAGAGGATAACAAGACATACTATTCTTTATATTTAATTATTTACATTCAATCAAGTTTGCTTAAATATTTACAAATATAACTAGTATTTACATGTTTTTTAATTACTTTAATACATTCATTTAATAATAAAGTTGATGTTTTTTTAGGATAATCGCAGTATTATAGAAATTGTCACAGGACCATAATGATGTTTAGATTAAAGAGATTTTTCCTTTGAAAGTATATTATGTTGCGATAGAAATTAAACTACAGTAATATAAAAATTGTATGATAATCACATTTGGTATGCTATTTTTTTTTTTAATATTATGGCAATAGTTTTGACTTTATGCCATTTGGTATGCTATCACCAAATGCTTATGGTAACCGTAAAAGTAAAAAATTGCTTTAATATTTACTAACTAATCTGATGGTGGTTGCCATGTAACAGCTTTCATTTTTCTATTAATCTCTGATAGTATGAGCTGACATCTTGCAATTTGAGCAGGTCTTAACTGCGGTGTAGGGTCCCTTGTACGTTCAGAATGTTGGGGCACACGCTTTGTAGCCCTACGTAAAGCTCTGCGACGTCTGGCCCTTGCCGTAGCTGGAATAATAAAGGTAAGGTGATAAATATAGTATAATACTAGATTATAACTATTCAAGCCTTTCTGTGTGTATGAAAATAACACTAACATATAAATTCTTGATGCAGATATATCAGCAATTACTACATTGTTAAAAACATGTTGCAAAACTCACACTCACCAGATTCAGTTTTGTCCTTCTTATAATCATCATCATCAAGAGATCTTTTCTTTGGAGACTAAAATGTAAAAGAAATTAATCAATAACTGTATCTATTGTGATAAATTAATGATTAAAGGATTTAATTATATTTAAATTTCTAGTATATATCAAATATAATAGCTATAAAATTTTGCATAAAGGCTATTTTTGTTAAATTTACTGTTTCATCCTTTGATTACATGGTACAATAAAAACAACTGCTACACTCCACTATTCAATATACAAATTTGGTAAGTTGACTTGCTTCTGATTTTTGTATTGTATGTAGCTCACTTTTTAACCTATTCATAACTGCTATAAAAATCTATTATTTGTCTACAAATTACAAATTATACTAGAACATTCTTTTATAGTATCATTTGCCATGTCTGTTCCAAACATAAATACACTTTGAAACTCATTTGAGCCATGACTGATGATACATATCTTCATCAGTTTACTAAAGATTTTTTCTTAAAACAAATAATTAAGGTTTGGCACGAAACATCCTACATTTTAATATAGTTTTTGAACACTTGATAATATATAGCATTATATAACACTTTCTATATCTTAATAAATTTACCTTTCTTTTTTGCTTTTGATAATCCTGCGCATCATAAAACTGTGGCTGGGCCCTTTTTACCCTACCAGTACGCCTTCTTATATCGTCAACTGGCGGGAGCGTATCCGCTCCACGGCGTGATGCAAAGAATGTGTGACCACATTTGCAAGATTTTGATGCCACAGCTACCTGAAGTATGTTGTACAGTTGTGTGATAAAACTGTTCTTCGAGTTACGTGACCTTAGTAAACTATTTATTATATGTATGAAGCTAAGTACCTGCATTTCACATTTGGGACAGCTCTTTGCTATCATCTTATTTTTACCCATTGTTGTTCCTGCATATTCTCAGTGCCACAGAATTTTAGTAAATTCGCGCGAATTATAATTTTAAAAAGTGTAGGCAGCTAACTAGATTGCGAAGCTAATCCATACATTTATTTACCTATAATATTTATTGTGTTAATATTGAATAACATAGATTCATAAGTTATAATTTATTAATTAAAATAACAACAACCGCAAATCCAGGCTAAAACGCGTGACATTTGACAGACCGCGCTTGTTAAATGTTTATTGCTGTGTGTGACAACTGACAGCAGACCAGTGATAAATGACAAATCAAAACAACATTACAACAGGGGGCTTAGTCAAGACGCCAGTAATGTATGTACAAACTCTAAAACTAAATTTGTCGACACGAACTGTCATTTTCATACAAATTTAGAGTTCACTGATGACTGTCACGCTATTGAGAATTTTTGTATCTAAAAAGATACAAAATATAGTTTTTTCTATGGTGAATTGTACAATAATTTTCCTAGTCTGTGTGATGTTTAAATAAATGTTCCGGAACCGGAAAAGGACGAGTTTAATAATTAACATTTAAAATTATTTACTTCAACAATAAATAAAACTTTTGTAATAATTGAGCAAAAACTGAAAATTATAAGTAGTTATTAATTTATGTGTGCAGATGAGTAATACAATTGTAAAAAAATACAGTGGTGTAATAAAATACACCTTCATTAAAGATGACTGAACAATCATCAACCATAGAAACAAATGTATCAGAAACAAAAGACACAACAGTTAAATTAGATATGCCACCACCATCCACAACCATAGTGCTAAAAAGGTTTTACTAACATTAAAATAATTTTATTTTAATTTGGTGTTCACTACTACTAAATTTAATACTAAATTAATTTTAAAATTAAATTTTTCTTTTTTTTCATATCATGATAATGCTGATCCCGAATCTAAAACATTTAAACTATTGAATACAGAAATAAATAAGTTAAATACTGTTAATGCATGAGCATGTCTTATAATTAAATGTACGGACAGATTTTTTATTTCTATTAGGTTGGCTGAATACAACTGGCCTTATAAAGCTAATAGCACCAATCTAATTCCCAGATTAAGAACAAAATTTTATTGTACCGCATGTGAAAAGTCATATAAGGCTCAAGCTAAATTAAAATATCACATTCGTTCAAAACATTTTAATTTAAAGACAAAAACAACAAACATAGATAAGAAAAATATAAATGATGTTTGGTTTGAGAAAGTTGTAAATACAGATTTTGTAGCAGAAATCAAGAAAGCATCATATACCAAGCTTATTATAAGAAGATCTGAATCCAGGGAAGTGATCACAGATATAAAAGAAATTGTTGATGTATCAGAACAATATCCAACAAAATGTTTCGATGTCAAAGCTGAGTGCAATGAATGTCACCAAATTATTTGTAAGAAGGATTTCAAAAAGCATTTTAAATTAAAGCATAGTGGGAATAAATTAAAGATAAAAATTAAGTAATTGTATTATAAGTATGTTTTATGGCTGTGAATTATGATATTCTTTTCTCTGTATGTAATAAACGATTCAGTATAACTGAAAAAGGTTTTTTTTTGTAAATTCATCAAAAGTATAATATATGACCTTTTTCACTGTGTAACCAAACTCCTCCAAAACAGCTTGACCAATTTTTATATGTTTTTTGTATTGAGTAGATCTTACGATATTGGCCTTGAACTATTTTTATACTCCTAAGTTATAAGGGTGGCCCTCCCAAATAATTTATTCATTTTATTGAAGATTTTTCTTTATTTGGCATTAAAACATGGTTTTTAATTTTCATCCACCAACAATATTTTTTAATATCAGTATTAGTACTGTAATAATACTTATATCGCAAAACAATGTTTGCCACTGACCTACTAGTATAAATAGAAAATAAAGAAAGCCTCATTGAACATTATTTTGGCAATAGTTGCTGGGGTATATATTTTGCTTTGTGTAAAGATTCTGTTGTTTTGTGCCAATTTGTCGTTAAAATAATAATATAAAACAAATCCCGAACTATTAACTGAACATAGGTTAATTAAATGTTCAATTATTAAGTGATTTTTTTAAATGTGTAACGCCTCTTATATACAAATTGTACCTATATAGAAATTGACGTGTTGCTCTGAAAGAAAAAGAAAACTATAGTATTTTCGTGAACTTCATGATATATACTTAATTTAACGAATGCACCGTTTTGTTCTATAATTTGTACTTATAGGCGAAATACTCTAGTAAGTAATCTTAAAATAAATACTAGTAATAACTTTTCTTGATGCCAGTTTCTTATCACCCAGGAAGTTTGCAATGGTAAGAATAAAAAGAGGTAATTACTTGGTGCGAAGGCCGGAATATATGGCGCATGCATTAAAACTTCCAACTTAAAACCTATCCAACAAGCATAAATGATAAATCTGTAACTGTTTGATGATTAATCGACACTTTACTAGATCGATCACTACAGGCATCTACCAACTACCGAAAACTGTGCATTTATTTTCATCAATTCATCACCCTTATCATATTCCTGTCTCTTTCATTTTTTTAAAAGTCTATAGCCAAATTGTTGACGTATATTTTGGCGCCAATTTTTTACTCAAGAAATAAAGCTTGAAAAGTGTTGTTCTTTTAGGTTTAGGAAAATGTTAGGCATTACATATTATTGAATTTCTTTCTGCCAGCCATAATTACACTAATATCATTTTAAAATACATCTACATCTCATGTTTACCCGACTTAATAATAATCTTATAATTATGAATCTATATTTTTCGTGTAATGAAGATGATACCGATTGACTGTTACATATATATGTATATATGTTGACCTTATTATTTGTCAAGAAAAATAAATGAAATTTCTATTACATATCGACGTAGGAAAGCATATTTGCTGTAAGTAGACATTCACATTAAACAATTGTTCACCAGAGCCAAAAAACTTAATTAATTTCGGAAAAAAATTAATAGTGTCGAACCTATCCATGATTTTGCTACCATTTTTGAAACATATATTTATTTAACTGCCAGTCACCATTTGCAATGTAAACTTTTCATCCAAAGTTACTATAAGTACGTGTTTGGCTAGTTACAGCATACAGTTTTTTAAATCACAAACCTTTAAAACGCTGTAACTAAGGAAGAAAAATGTACGTGCGGAAATATTATCAATTTACAGGCGGTAAATATGCTGTATGCAGTAAATTTATGTATTTGGGTACTTTCAATTGCAATTCAAGATGTAAGATTAGTTTATAATTATGATTAGATCTAGAAATGCAGTGGGTCATTTGGTAATGTAATGTTTGGTTGAAATAAAATGTCGTAAATGGTAAAAAAACTAAAACTGTAGGTTCCCTAAACTTGCTGTAAGTAAACGAATGTAAAAATCACACGCCGCAGAAATGCTGTAAGTAGCGTTAAGTTTTTAAATGGGAAGAAGTAAGTATTTGTAAAGAAAAAAATGCAGTTTTTCTTTTGCTGTAAGTACAAATTGTGTATAATAACTGGATTTTGGTCTACATACAGCATTTAATCTTGCTAAAAAAAATATAAGTACGGGCGTTTTCAGACGCGTATGTATTTTTTTTTTCATCGTAGAGACACAGGACCCGGGACATTCGATGCGGTTTTTTTTCTGATTCTAATGGCAGTAAAAAGTCACTTTAGGTATTTTGTCTACTTACAGCAAAATATATGCTTTCCTACGTCGACATGTGGCTTGGAACTCGGGCGTTGCATAATTTAAACCCATGAGCGGCGGTGATAGGCTAACGTGGTTCGAAGTTTATTGTTCTGACATTGAATTTTTATTGCGTTCTATTCCACTTTAGTTTATGAATCGATAAAATGTAAATACTCTACAAAAAATGAAAAAAATATTGTCGCTACTATGTAAGTTATAAAATAAAACATTTAAATCTGATGATAGGTACTAGCAGTCTGTCTCGGCTGGATATTTATATTTTAATATATTTTAGAAACAAAATATGCTAGACTTACATGAATTATATGATTATAATGGTCAAATATTTATTTATCTGTCCTTAAAATTTATAAGTACATTACGATTTACAAAAAAAACAATTTCTCTTTATAGTATTCGTAAGCTACAAGATGTATTATGTTATGTGTGTTATAGAATATTAGATAAGACTTATTTATTACTGAAATATAATTCAGTATAATTTCAGGCTTAATGATAATAGTGTCAATAAATTGTTCTCAAAATAAACAAAACATAGATGAATTCATCGATGATGTGCTGGCGTCAAGAAAGTTCGCTAGACTGGCTGATATTATAGCCGAAAAAACAATAGTCAAATTATGGAATGTGAAAAGCAATATTTTTTTTAGTACAAATAATAAAAACCAAGGAGACGAAAGAATTCGTCGTCATAGCCATGCTAGTGACGAAAATTCATTGCGAAATATATCGTTAAAATATAGACAATTAATCAGTCAATTAAATGGAGAAAATATTGTGATCAAAGCAAGTTCCAAAGCATTCACATATAAAAGCAATGAAGTTAATACAACGCTCGGAGAAAAAGATAACGCCACGAATTCGAATAGTTCTAAATTTGAATCGCCAAAATCTGAAGAAAAAATATTTAAGCAAGAGTTGACCACTGACATTACCACGTTTGGATTGTCAAAAACAAAACAGAAAGAAAATATACAAGATGAGATTGATTTTTTTAATATGAATAAACAAAGAGATCTAAATAGAAAAAATACCGGAAGAAAAGATGGTAACAAGATATTCGTATTTCAAGCGTCTTCTGATTACGATGAGTATCATGAAAAGGTGGATAAAATTTTAAACATCGATCCTAATTAAAAAATGTTGCCAGATATTAGTTCTTATTGAACCTGTCTTTGATAGATCAAATTATAACTAAATGCGTACGTAAGTTCGTTCGCTCAAGACATAACAGAAGTAGGGAAGGGGATGACGGGTCTGGGCGTTACTGCATACGATTTTTTGCAATTTCTGAGAAGATTTCCTATAGTAATATATATATATATATATATATATATATATTTTTACCATAGGAAAGTAGAGATTTCAACGAACTGAAAGCACACCAACTTTTTGAAAAAAGCTGATATTTTGACGGGTGAATTTTCGATAGAAAATTAGGGTGCTTTTTCGATATTAATTCAAAATAAGGTGAAAAAATTATTATTTCAAATCAAATAAATTACAGCGTATTAAAGACATAAAAAGGTAAGTTTCGTGAGAAAAAAATAAATATTGTAAAAGATAAAAATTAAAAACCAAAAACTTGGTTTTTTGAATTTTTCACATGAATTTTGAGGTTATGTGAAAAATGTGTAAATAAAAAAGTTTTAGATCTTTTTATTACCTACAACTTTGCCATTTGCCTTTTTTCCATTAGACTTTTAGTTTTGCCGGAAATCGAGATAAACCGTTTTTTACCCTTAAAACTCCCCCCCCTTCCCCTTCCCGACCTCAGATCGCCCGTAAATTATTTTTCCTTTAATTTTTATAATTTTCTCCTCCCTTACCAATAGGTTTCATCCTACTATTTTTACTTTTAAAGACTATCTACCCTGGTCTACAGGTACTTTATTGTGTTCTTTACTAAGGAGTGCTTATATTATTCTATAATAATAAAGATATTAATTCCAATTTAGTTTCATCAGTATTTATCGATAGGTAATGTTATTAGTACCTAGGTAATTTGTTTTGTAATTTTGAATTCCACGATTTCCTGTTTTGAGCATGGGCCTGTTTCACCATCGTGAATTTGTGAGGGTCTCGGCTATTACGGGGATTTCTCTGTCCTCCTTTTTCATCCTGTTCCTCTTCCTCGTTCCTGTTTTTGCTGAAGAGCTTGTTTACCGAGATAGGCGTATTTGTCGACGTATTTAATTTCTCTTCCGTCCATGCTAGCAGTATTTTTTAAATAAGACATGGGATTTCTGAATCACGTTCTATTTTTTTATATTATCTGTTAAAAAAAAGAAAGATTAATAAACGTTATAATATGTATTTATTATCTGCGTCAAGTGTCAACTATCAGTTCCCGCTTCAATTCATAAACTTGAAATTTGCATGTAAAGTTCAAGTTGGTACTTACTTTATATCAGTCTTCTATGCATAGTACCCTCGAATTTACAATCTAATGTAATAGATAAGTTCGAATTGTAACGAAATGGTAAGGATTTGAGATTTTAAAAGTTGCTGAAGTTAGAATAGTCTTACTAATCTTGTGTACTTATTTTTATGATGATACCAGCTTTGCGACGACCAAAAGTTTTAACATCAAACAATTCTCCGATAAAGTTTATGATACTAACATTAAAGAATGGTAAAAAGTTAGTCGTCTCGTCGGATTCTTTCCATAGTATAATGAACATAGAACACAAGTATAATTGTATGGTATGCAAAACAGAATTTGATTTCGACGATGAACATAAAGCAAACCACAAGAAACTAGAAACTCACAAGCAAAAATTAACTTTATATCCGCATAAGGAAGATTTTGAAGAAAATTTGATACGTCAGGTCAGTCCAATCAAATCTAGCTCTATTATCATTGTCACATTTAGCTGAGTTCATGGAAATACAATTTTAATAAGTAATTTATTTATTTCAGTATAGATAAATAAGAGTGTTTATATTTCAGCTGGATACTGAGACATGCTACTGCACAATATGTGGTGTTTCTTTGTCAACACATTCACTGATGAGGCACCTGTCAGCTGGAGTTCACAAGATGGAACTAATAAAAGCAAAGAACAGAGCATATACCTACAAACCTTTAGAATAAGAGTGAATTGATTTGATTTTTATGTTAAAATTTTGTAACATGCACATTGCACATACAGTAACAAAAAAATTACAACTTTAGATATATTAAGAAATCTTCTTTCATTAATTTCTAAACAGATACAAGATTTATGTCTTTTTAGAAAAGTTTATGATGTATCAAAATTTAAGAATAGTGTCACGTGAAAGTTAAGTATTATTTTGATATGATAAAAATATTGGATTTAACATACAAAACACTAACTCTTATCAGTACTTTAAGCTTTATACTTTTTTTTAATGTTATAGTATTCAATACTTAAGTTATATTTTTATGTTAAAGAACTTATAAGGTGTTAAATAAAGTACTTATGTCAAATTTACCATTTAATTATCAATATATTATATGCTAGGGCTTGTGTGAACTAATGTAGCCTTTACAAAGTATGGACATACCATATAACTAAGACAGCGCATAATGTTTACCTATGTATATGTCATAGTGTTAATGTATCAATTGTGGAAACTGATAATTGGCCGTCATCATATTAATAGTATATTATTGAACCTTTTTTAGCTGTAAGTTTCCCTAAAATTGTAAAATAAAATAAAATAATTCTTCTAATATCAAAAGATAAACCTCCCCAAGTTGTCTCCCTTTTTATATACTATATAATAATTTAAACTCAAGCAGGTTTAATGAATAGAGCAAATTAGTAAAAAAAAAACTAACCTTTTATTAATAAGGTATATTGACAAAATACAATATTGAGATAAGAGAATGTAATGTTTCAAGTTAAAAAGTATTAAAAACAAACGGGGTGAGCTAAATAAAACCGTTTAAAAAACAAAGCTATCATCACTTAATTAACTAACAACTGAAATACTTAAACGATTTTGAATATAAAATAAAAGCCAACAAGTATAAGGTATGACATTTTTATTTCCGTTTCCTATGACTTCTAGTCTTTCTCTTTAACTTTTTCTTTGTGTTTGTTAGTTTTGCGATTTTCCTTTTATGCAGCCATACTGGGTATTGGCCGTTTTGATCTTTCAGTGTTTTAGTGCTATAAACACGCTTTTCACCTTTCTCGTCTGCAACCTCGACTTTCTCTTCATCAGAACTCATTTCTACGTCCTCTTCCGGAGGTTCTGCTGCTGCCTGCTTCTTTTGGGCTTCTTTCTTTAGTGCACCTGCATCTAGAAATATTACTTGATCAGATTCCATAACCTCCGCAGGGTTAATTTTTTCTTCTTCTTTTAAACCGAGCATTTTCTTTAATCTTGCTAACTCTTTAACTGCATAACGTTCGCGTTTAATTGCTCGGCATTTACGCTTCCACCTACTACGTAGAGATTTCGCCATTGTTTTAAAATGTTTTTATTTGGATTTTGTAAAATAACACATTCTTTGTCAACACCACGTTTTAGAAGAACTTTTCTGTCAAGGAAAATGTAGAGAGTACAGACTACAGACTGTTATTTACTGTCAATAACCGTGGTTTTGAACTGTCCAATGTTTATGACAACTTACAGTGTCACGATTGAAATCTTTATTCTTTACTCTTTAGTCTCTGCCTCTTGCAATTTTGCATTGAGGTATTTTCGGTGAAATCTGCATTTGTGTTTTGGGAAAATAAATAATAATTGCATTTTAGTTGGAAACATTCCAATTATTGTAGTAGATAAGTAATTTATAGGATCAGTGACCGCCGCGCGCTTAGTCAGCGAATGCGATTCTCGTGTCTTTGTTAGTTAATTTTGTCCGGTTGTGAGTACGAATAATATTATTTGTGTAGTGTTATTTTAAAATGGAGACAATGCAAGTGGACTGTGATATGCAACCGGACAAGGATGATAGCGGATGTAATCAGGATGGTAAGTTTTTGATCTGAGCGTAAACTTTTTATAAAAATCAATAATGTACATCCCATCTTATTAATCTATTTTTGGCATGCATCGCTCAGGTAAAGGGAGGGAAATAGATGTGCAAGGGTTTGTGCGCCGATATTAATTAAAATCGATACAGTTCTTGGTATACGCCTACACATAATAAGTTCATCTATATATTAATGCTGTGAATAAAGAACCATAGGAAGGGAAGTTATCCATACAATAAGGTCCTTAAATATAATATTATTATGTCTCCCTTACTTGAAAACTAGACAATAGTATGAATTTTAATTGAAACAATATTTTAAACTGTTATGAAACTTGAACAAATATCCTTGCTGTTTTTGTATATAAATAATATTATTATGGGAATACCACAAGATAGACCTAAGCCTAAAACTATAAACCTTGCTTGAATAGGTATATTCATTTTGTGGTTATTTTATGCCTCTGGTAATCAATTGAAAGTCTATGACTTGAAGTACTACATGCAAGCCTATCTTTTTCTAAATTTCAATTCTGTACCCCTTTTATTTTGCAATTGTCTTTTCTATTCTCTGTTTCACAAGTTTAGATTTAGGTATTAATTATTGTTGTAAAGTCAATGAAAAAGAAGTTTAAAGAATAATTTAGCATGCGAGGAATGTAATACTTATATAAATACCACATTTTGCTTATTATATATCAAAAGTATCAATTGTATTTGCCATGTCATCCAATTTCAATTAAACAAACTGTAACATGATATACACGTTTGCATGATTAAATTATTTGCTAATTAGACAAATTATTTAATTAAAACGATTATATTTTCAAAAATAAATTGTTTGCTTTGGTCGTTCATTGCCTACTCTTGGCCTATTTGTAATTACAGACTTACGTTATGTCTAATAAATTTATTATTATTATAGCTTTATTTATTCCAAACTCATTAATGTACAAAAAAGAAGTAAGAATATTTTATATGTTAGTAATATGTAGTAATCTTAGTCGTATGTTAGTATGTGTAACATTAGTATATTCAAAGTTTGGATCCCATCTGGGTAAAAGCCTCCTCCATTTTTTTCCATTTTATTCTATTTGTAGCTGTAGTAATCCAGTTTCCGCCTGCTACTTTGACTATGTCATCCACCCACCTTTTTTTGGGTCGACCTCTGTTTCTCTTACCAAGTGGACCAGTCCATTTTGTAGTTTGTACAGTCCATCTTTTGTTGATGTATCGAGAGATATGTCCTGCCCATTGCCATTTCATTCTTAAGGCGTGCCTAAGAGCATCAGTTAGTTTAGTTTGTTGGCGTATGTCTTTGTTCTTTATCTTTTGTATCTTCTTAATTTTCAGAAGTCTAATAAATGACTATTAATTATCAAATACTTTAATGTGCTTGGGTGCAAAACATTTTATATACTAAATAGTTTAGTACAAACTATATACTACCTTATTAAGTAAAAAGCCTACCTGCTTATTAAACAAAATCACACAAATAAACAAAACACTTATGATAAAAAAAAATATTACAGATATGTCACCCTTCAGGCAGATCAGTCTTCTTGATTTATCAGATGATGTTCTACTCTACATCCTACGACTCTGCTCGCCACGCGATCTAAAGGCTCTTGGATAGTAAGTACCAATTATCCATATAACAGCCCTTACTTGGCACCTGACGATTAGACTTCTACGTACATTTTGTTAAACATTGAATAGTTACCAGCCAGTTGCCTACCCAAGTCACACCGATCAATTTTAGTCCTAAGTCTCGACTCTGAATTTTAACATATGAGGTAGTGTTTGTTGTGTTCTTACGTAGCCAGGACCAGGAATTGGGGTGGCTAACTTTAATAATAGCTTTAAAAAGACAATATCTGAACTTTTTATTTAAATACAGATTCTGTGATTACATTTCTGAAACTAATGCAAATACATTAATTTATTAATATAATTTTTCTTTTTAAAACACACATAAATACAGTTTCAGAGAAACATAATTTTAATGATGTGTTCTAATTAATATAGTAATAAACACATTGACCCAAATCTATATTGATCCTAATATTATAAATAAGAAATAATAATAATTTAATTGTGTGTTTTTGAGTATGAACTCACAAACTGCTACTACAGTTTTAGAATAAACAATTTTCTCAGTACATGTCCACGACTTGGAATCTTGGTGCAAGAGCGGTCTCTGTGGAAGCATGTGGATGCTCGTAATGAGGTCTTCAGCACCGCAAGGCTGGAGTGGTACCTCGCTCACATGCTGCATGAGGACACACAGGAATTGTTGATCAGTGGCCATGCTAGGGAATGTTCAGGGTGAGTATAATATGCAATTAGACACGGTAACAATTAACAATACAAAAAACCGAATAGCTATTTATCATAATAGAGAGCTCTGGCTTATTTGTATTAAATGGAAGTTGATTCAATAATAAGCGAATAACCCTCACACTAAAATGACTTTGGCAATTGCGAATGTATGTGAATGTATGGTATTGAAAAGGCATCAAGCATCAGAATTTGACAAATGTATTTAAAACTTACAAATATGATTGCAACGGGTCATAAAAATATCAACTAGAAATAATGTTAAAATAGTTATAATTTTTTTTTTTTTCATATATATATTTTTTTTCAGATAATGATGATAATAGAAACTCAAAATTATTAAGCCGCAGTGTTTTCGAACCTTGTTTGTGCCATGCCCACCTTAGCCTTTCTAAAATTCAGTTTTAGGAAAAATTACTGTTGTTATGGGAAAACAGTTAGTAAACTGAAATTCAATTTCCAAATATTTTAATTAATTGTCGAATTAGAGAATAAGTGGGGCCTTAACAATCAAATTTTCCCCCTGTGGGGCATGAGCCTCACGTTGGGAAACACTGATTTAGAGTATATTGTGTAGCATATTTTTTTCATTGACTGAATTTATAATAGTCTCATTATTCATGTGTCTGAATAATATTAAGTTAATGTAAAATTTTAAACTTTTGGAATAAACTGTGGACTACTAGCGTGGAGCTGGTAGACCTGTTTGTGCTTCTGGAACTTAAGAATGTACTTGGCAAAAAAAAAATGTGCCTGAGTGTGTAGCCAATGGAGATCTGTTTGTCCTCTTAAGGAAACAGGCGCTAAATTTAAATAAATTATAGTTTTTTAAATTAAAACAAATGAAATTGATTACAGATGCCTTGGCCTCATTAACACAACTCGGGCGGTTGCTGAAGAGGATTTAAGCGGGCAGACTGCTGATGAGAAGAAAAAGGAAGAGCCTTGTACTAGTGGTAAGTATTTTTATTTTTTTTACCTGCTACTTCCTACTGCATGATACTCCTTACCACCTGCTACTTCTTGCTACCTGCTACTTCTTACTACCTGCTACTTCTTGCTACTTGCTACTTCTTGCTACCTGCTACTTCTTGCTACCTGCTACTTTTTACTACCAGCTACTTTTTACTACCTGCTACTTTTTACTACCTTCTACTTATTTACCTATATGCCTATTAGAAAAAACAGAAATAGTTACAAGAATCTGTGGCTAAGTTTTGTTTTATAACTAGAAAATGATTGTTTTCCAGGCAACACGATATCGGAGGACAACATATCAGTGGTCCGTGAGATGCCGTTCTATGTTCGCAGACCTCATTCGCGTTTCTATGTTAATCAGCGCATGGACTGTTTGCCACGGTGAGTATTTTAATTTTTAATTAAGACAATAATAACATACATCATTTATCAGCTTATTATATTATAGACATAACATTTATTACTAACAAAAACACACACAAAATAACAATAATCAAAGAAAAAATAAAATGAGAGATATCAAAAAGAATAAAATCCTTTTCCCATTCGGTTCGTTTCAAGTGTGTAATGCGTGTGTGCTGTGGTTGTAATTGGCCCTGGCTCAGCATGATGCTGAGGAGCAGAATGTTCCACAGCGCTGGTGATTCTGCCTGAGACCACAGCAGCTAGTTTGCGCCTCAGTCGCAAAAAAATAAAGAAAAGGAATGTAATAAATACTTAGTAGAAAAAAAAATAATAAAAGTTTCCAGTGTACGTAATGAAGTCTTGTGTAAAGTAAAATTAATAAAAATGTAAATAAAATTAAATTAAAAGTTAAAAATAAGAATAATTGTTAAGAAGTAGATTTTTTTTAAATGTTATATTATATTATATTATATTATATTATATTATATTATATTATATTATATTATATTATATTATATTATATTATATTATATTATATTATATTATATTATATTATATTATATTATATTATATTATATTATATTATATTATATTATATTATATTATATTATATTATATTATATTATATTATATTATATTATATTATATTATATTATATTATATTATATTATATTATATTATATTATATTATATTATATTATATTATATTATATTATATTATATTATCATATAATCAAGAGGAATTTAATTACACTAACAAAACAGAGCAGGTATGATTTCGATACATTTATACGTTCATAACGTACATTTATTAATTATACCTACATCAAATTAAAGCTAATTTCGTATTATTTTGATAGGCAACTTGCTAGAGTTCTCCTACTTATAAATAAATATAAAAAAATGTTTTTTTTTTATATAAATCCAAATACAGAAAAAAGTTGCCATTACCTACGCTAATATAAATATTGGTGTGTCTATGCCTACTTATGGTTTATTAGTAGTCTGTACACGAATTGTATTTATTTGTGTTAATTATATTTATTAGGCCACGCGACTACCCAGCCTGGAGCGACGACAGTGGCATGGGCCGTTCGGGGCCCCAGAGCTGCGTGGGGCCTCAATTCACATTGACCCCACAAATAATGAGGCAACTGAGGCACCAGTGCAATATAACCATACTCTCCCTGGAGTACTGCAATGTCAATTGCAATGTTGTGAGTATTTAATTCTAAAATAATATCTTAACAACATTTCCAATTGAAGTATTTCCGGATTAGGTAGCAGGATAGAAAAAAAAGTGCGTGCGTACAAAGTACACATGTCAGGAGTGAAACTTCTTTGTAAATTAATTATTACTGAGGTAAAAGCCCCAATAGATGATCATGTACCAGTATATGATCACTCCATGTATTTGTATATCTATATTCACAATGTATACGTGCTAATGATAATAATAATAAATAAAAAATCTACGTTTTCTGCACAAGACGTTATGCGACAGAATTGCCATCTAAAGTCATTCTAATATGTTACTACTAAACGAATACATCAACCATTAGCGTGTATTTTTTCTCGATCTCCCTTACTCTCTCTCTCTCAATCTTTCTCACTATAGCTCTCTTCCACATCTCGATCCATGACGTGCGTGATGCGACATTCGCTTTATCTCACTCTCTCTCAATGGGTCTCAATCGCTCTCACTCTTATCTTCGACAAAAACGCTGCACATCTTCGTGACGCTATTATTATTATTTTATTTATTTTTTATTTATTTACACTTCGTTGCAAATAAAAGAAACACAATACATACAAATTATAAGGGATGCAACGGGCGGCCTTATCGCTAATAAGCGATCTCTTCCAGGCAACCCTAGTTAAAGAGAAAAACTAAAAAAAAAAGAAACATGATGCGTGCGAGAAGGGCAGAACCAAATGTTATATAAAAAATAAAAATGTGTGCGTGTACTAGGTGTACACACGTAAGAAGTGAAACTTCTTTATGACCTTATTAGAAACTATTTCTTTAAACACAGTAAATTTTGATACACTGCCTAGCATACAATTTACAAATTAATTGCTGCAAATTGCGATTAGCAAATTTCAAGTCGAAAATGTAATCCGTTGTCAAACTTCAAAGTCAAAAACATACTATATGTCATATTTTAACGCCGATAAAGAAGTTTGACTTCAAAAAACAACATGGCGCGTAACGGAAAAATGTGACGCGTAACGCAAAAATGTTACACTAAATTTTTTTCCAACCCCGATAAAGAAGTTTCACTTCAAAAATATATATAGAATTATTATTGCGTTTCATCCGGAAAAATGTTACCCTCATGCGCCTAAAGAAGTTTCACTTCAAAAAGAAACGTGTAAAGTCACAAACACTAATATTAAAATGAATTATGCACACTAAAGAAAAGTTGTCGAAGTGTTTCGTTGTTACCGGAACAAACTTGTGTCTGAAGTCGAAACTCTTCTACGTGGAGTCTCGGACTGGGGTAGGTTAGTCCAATTTTACCCCAAAAAGACACAAGTTTGCACGTTTTCCGCTAAAAAAAGACCCTTTTTTGCTACTCCTCTTTTCGAAGACACTCTTAAAGCCACAGCCAGCATCGGAATACTTGGAGTTGACATATAATCGACGTTAGGAGGGAAAGGCCAAATTAGCCTTAAAAAAATGTGAGCCGTCACAGGACGCCTGGCAGATGTGAAACATCGACATTATTTTGTAAAAGTAATATGAAAAGCAGAAAAGAACAGATTGTGATAGGAACTAAATATGTCGTAATGATAAAATAAAATATTACGTTTTTTTTCCAGATAACGATGACTATTTATTGAATTCAATTCAATTCAATTCAAAACATTTATTTTCATTAAATACAAAAATTGCTATAGATGTTTCACATCAAAACAATGGGCCAGAACCAGTCTGTTGTACTGAATTCTGTATCCGACTATCAACATCCGAGAATTCGCGGTTGTGATGTTCTTCATAAAATTGTTACATGGCAAGGACTGTAATTCGGCAGTACTTCAGTACCTTCAATGTACCTGATGGGTATGTCAGAACGGGACATCATGTGCCCACAGCTAGGACTAACCTTCTAAAATAAACACTACCAAGAAACTGACTTAAATCAGTTCAAATAATGCACCACTAGATGGCGCTGACGGGCTTTGTCGAATAGTCTCATATTTATTTACAGTATGTTTGTATTTATACTTAACGAGAGATTTGATTTGCCTTTCACATTTCAGATAAATTTGAGCCAATTTCCCAAAACTCTCAAGAGGCTGTCTCTACGTGGGACAAAGTTCTTCAATCTGATAATTGATCGATCATTTTTGACCAAAATATGCAAGTGTTTGCCCGTACTAGAGGTGAGTTTGAGGTGTCTTTGGACCCGACAAAATATTTAATGTGCCCAAATTTGGTTATGGAGAAGAATGTCTTGGCCTCAGATTTCTGAATCTGTTTCACGATCATTTGTCGATCTAATAGGCAAGTAGGTGATCAGCCTCCTGTGCCTGACACACGCCGGGCCTTTTTGGGTCTAAGGGAGCGTTCAAGTATTACGTAAGGAATTTTGGGGGGAGGGTCCTTTTGTAAAACGTTACGTTGCGGGGCGGGGATTGCTGATGCACATAATGGTAAGTTTTAGGTATAAAGACTCACTGGGTGGTCACGAAATGTTTTACTATAACAGAAAACGTTACGGCGCGTTACATGGCGTGTGTGTGTGTGTGTGTGTGTGTGTGTGTGTGTGTGTGTGTGTGTGTGTGTGTGTGTGTGTGTGTGTGTGTGTGTAGTGTCAATAATCTCCAAAAATTGCGTGACGTAATACTTGAACGCTCCCTAAGGCAACCTTCTCACGATGTATTCTTTCACCGTTCGAGTGAATGTTAAATGCGCACATAGAAAGATAGTCCATTGGTGCACAGCCGGGGATCGAACCTACGACCTCTATACTGCTCATCATGTGAGTTAATAATAAATGTTTTTCCAGTATTTGGACCTCTCAGAGTGCGACTGGTTGGAACCTTCGTCTCTTCTCCCGTTGTCCAAACATCCCACACTCACCCACTTGATCGCTCGCGAGTGTTACAAGTTGACGGAATTCGTGGCTTACGCATCGCTGACATCCAGATATGGTTTTCGCACTTTGAAGGTGGGTTTTTTTATTAATTAAGATAATAATAAAGCCCGTTTTATTTCCAATCATGACAAATTATAATACACAACAGCTTAGATTATTTTACATTTATTTTGGAGTTTACTCCTTAAGAAACGATTTGAGTTATAAGGCCCGGTACGGAAATTTTATGAGGAGTAAAATCAAGTGTAACACGAAAAGTTGAGGCGTTATGTAGAAAGAGACAAACATATATATCTGTAGGATTGAACGTGTAAAAGAATGAGATGGAATACATTACACAGACTTTTCTATTTTGAATTCACCTTTTGACAGCTACGTTACAACATTGTCAGTGTTGACAGGTGTAAAAAATAAAAGTAGATTGTGTAGCGTGCCATAGAGTTTTGTCAATAGTAATGGTCAGTGAAATTAAAACTAAAAAGATTGTTCATTCTTATTCTTCTCTTACTATAAAGGTAACTTTGGTCACAGAAAGAAAATCCTATTTGGGCATAGATGATGTAGGTACGTTTTATTACTACTACAAACATTTATATTATAAAAACATATATTCTTACCACCTTTAGTATGAAAATATGGTCGACAGCCACAGAACATTATCGCCATTTTATCGTTCATAAGGAGTAAACTCCAATCGTGCGTCGTAGCTAACACACACACACTTTTTTTCTTTTGCTTGTTATCCTATACGATCGGAACCCCCTCACGGGTAAAGTGACTTAAATTACTTATTTGTGTTAAGTTAGGATAGATCGTGATGTTAAAAGTCTTTGTGCAGAGACAATTTATTAAAAAAGAAAAAAGATATATATTGACCGTCTCACCCCTGACATATATTTTTTGAAGTTATACTTCTTTTGACGCGTTAGGGAAAAATGATGAGAGTAAATTTTTACGATGCGCGCGCACACCGTCACAAAAAACCGACACTCTAAAGTTAGCATAGTCAACATTTTAAAATAAAAAATATCCATTTCTTGATAATTCAAGATTTTTTTTTTGTAGAATTTTTTTTGTTATATTTTAATAGATAATGCGTTATAATAAAACTTTCAATGTATTACATACCTTTTTTCTATTGTTAGTGTCGTTTTTTTCTACAAACGTAGAATTATATTAGCAAAAAAAATTTTTTTTTATTCTTGATACGCCAAAGTATAACTTCTAACGCGTGTACGTTAATACACTCATTCTTTTTAATATGTCTGTTTATTATTGTTTTATATAATGTAAATGTATTTTGTACCATAAACAAAAAAAATCCACCAGGTTTTGGACCTTAGGGGATCACCGGTAGGCGATTCAGAGGTAGCTGCCCTCGGTTGGCTGCCTTACCTCGAAGAGTTGTGGCTTAGTGCTGCTCATTTCCCCAAGAAGATCCGCCATGCTCACTACACAGATGATGAATATGTCCCTCATACGCTGTTGGATAATTGGGAGTTGCAGGTTAGATAATTTTTGGGTCGACCCCCAGTGGGGTATGGGAAATTGCTGATCATTGGCTGATCTGAGATTAAGGCCAAGAGGTAGTCCTAATGTAGGGAAATAGGTATTTATTGAGGAGTGGCCGTAATACTTGAACGTACGTAGTATTTAAGTACCAGTTTGACTTAAGGTCCTACAAGAAAAGAGCGTACCAATTCTTAAAAGGCTGGCAACGCAATTGAGACTCTTATGGTAATGTGAGTGTCCATTGGCGGTATCACTTACCATCAGGGAGCTCGTTTGCCCCCATTTATATTAAAAAACTTGATTTCAAATCAAATCAACAAGTTTCTATTGGCTTAGTATTTTGCCAATTTTGTTTTTTAGGAACCAGACTATTACCAAAAGAAATCGATCCCAGAGCCCATAGAGAGCGATGAGGAAGATTCCAGCTTTCAAGAGAATGTTGAACCTGAACCATCCACATCGAGGGAGGGTCCTACGTTGGGGTATGCAATCTATATTAACATATTATTTATTTTATGAAAAACAAATATTTACTTTTATTTAATTTCAGACCCACTTTTGATGCCGAAGCGGCGAATAAAAGAGCGAAAGATGTTGAAAAGAGAAAGTCATTACCGAAAGAGCCAGAGGAAGAGAAAAAGGATGACAATGATGATGATGACGACGGCCAGGACGGCCCGAGTGATCCGAAAAGAACAAAACGTGATGCCACCATACATGTTCATATTGAAAGAATTCGCTTGCAAAGGCAGAATGAAAATCAAGAAGAGAATCCTAATCCAGCACCTTCAGGAAGTAACGTCATTGTTATCGGACCAAATGAAGACCCGCAACATCCCTTATACTGTGTATGCCCTAAACACAAATCTGTGGAAAAAACAGACAAATCAACGGAAACAGATATGTCTGTCTGTGACTGTCCGAAGAAGAAAAACGAAAAAGATAAGGAAAATAAAACCCAGGATCCCAAAGACGAACCAAGCGGGAGTCGAGACGAAAGGAATGATAACGCTAGATATGTCCGGTTTAGGAGAAACCAAAATTCTGTAACTGTCAATTTCGCTGACGACTCAGAGATCACAGTTCGTCGTCTTCCTAGAAATGAAGAAGCGAACCAAGAAGAAAATCGACCAGACGATAATGCAAACCAAGAAAATCCACAAAAACGTCGCAAGTTTTCTGATATTCTTCGCGCGTTTGCCGCTCATTTGGAGACGCACGAACTCCATGACTGCAAAAAACCTTCAAAGGAAAATAAAGAAGATGATAAAAAGGAAGGTGATAAAAAAGATGATGCAAAAGAAGATGATACAAAAGAAGATGATAAAAAAGAGAAGGATGAAATAAAACCAGAGGTCGATGACCCCCAACCCGGCCCGTCAGGGGTTAAACCTAAACCTAAAGAGGAACCGGAAAAAGCGAAGCCAAAAAAAGAGTTGAACCCTATTTGCGCCCGGAACCCGAATCTAAGCCACCTAATGCAGAATATCGAAAACCAACACATAAACATTCAGGTTGACATCAACCAAGAAAACGCCAACCAGGAGCAGAATCGTCCAGAGAACCCCAACAGATTTGAGGCACACATTTTTCTCCCTCGAAACTCAGTTTCGGCGCGTAATCCTAACTTGAACATGCTCGTCCAAAACGCGAGCCCGGAAATTCCAGACCCAGGTCGGAATATGGAGAATCTCCCGTTTCCAGGCTTCGTTCACCCAATGCCGCCGTTCAGGGGAGAACCGTTACGAGACTTCCAATACATTCTTGAACCTCGTCACCACGTTTTGTACGTGAGCGTCGGCTCCCAGTTTAATACCTTCAGATTTCCCCGTGAATCCGTCGAGGGTGAGGGGAATTTAGATCTGCATATTGACTCCAGTTCGCTGGTCACAGACTTCTCTATTCGCCGATTCGGGCGCGCTGATGGGGAGAACGTGAACTTCATACATTTTGGGCCAAATGGTCCGGTTCTGATGGGCAACGGCGGGAATAATAATCGGCCGGATAGGTCCAACCTTCGCGTTTTATCCGTGACCGGGTATAGGAATATTACGGACCGTAGCCTGTTGCATTTGATCAGCGCGGCGCCGCATTTGAGGAGACTGGACTTTTCGAGCACCATGGTCACAGATTCTGGGGTTGAGAATTTCAGAAATCTCCGACCTGATTGCGATGTTATCTACAGTCCCTTTGAGGAGAAACCGAAACCAAAATGAATCCATTTCTCAAACAATATTATTTAACATTAGAATTTTGTTGCACATCAAAGTCAATTGTCATATTTTGACAGCTCGAATTAAGTGATTGCTTTACTTAGTGCTTTTTGAAAAAAATTATCAGTATTAATGAAAAGTGGATTAGGGAGAGATATGGCACGACGCCATTTTTAATTTGGTTTATTAATGAATTGTAAAACAGATATACTTTATACCGTAAGATAATATGTTTAATTTAATATTCTGATGATTTATATTAATTTTATTATTAGCATTTAATTCCCCCATAGCCAACTTGGGTATATTATAATATAGGATAAAAATATTGAACCATAAAATATTGGTTTTAATAATCAGTAGGAATATCATTTTGTATGTAATGTATACAAGCATTTGCTGCCGGTTTTGCTTAAAGCAAAAATCAAATCATACAGTGTTTGGTATAATATATACTGATATTCTAAAACTGGGCAAATGCTAGTATTTGTCTGTTACCCTATCAAGCGGAAAGTGACGGTTTTCGGCCATTTTAATACGTTATGAAAACCGCTCGGAAAACTACGCGTTTTTGTACTACAGTAGGACTGTTAGAATTAATCCTTAGATGTGATATTTAGTTAAGATTTCCTTATTAGCGAAAACCCCGCTAAAATTTTATGAGAAGTTCAGTAACAGCCATTTAAATTTAAAAGCTTGCTAAACGTATTAAATAATGCTTATATTTGAGTAGAGGTTCAAATTTTTTGGGGTTTTCGTTTGTAGGGGTCATTGAAGGGCAAATTCCAAAGGTCAATAACCTTAGGTTAATGACATCGTATGGTTTCATCACGTACAAAGCGATTAAAATATATTATCCCAAGACTTGTGGTTCTCAAAATATTGTCTGAAGTTTTTTTTAATCGTACACCCGGTTTCTATATACAAAAACCAAACGTTTGGTGAATGTTTATACATTTAGTCTTTAGTAATATATTTTAATTTCTTAGTTCCTTATAATGAAATATTCCGCCATGAATGAATTTGTGTCTTGACCGGGTCTGTACCACGTGATAGACCATCTAATATATTCATTTTAATAGGTGTTTTATTTGTGAACATTTTTACCCCCTTACGATAAACTATATTATACTAAATAAATATTTATTTCTTTCTTAATGCTGTTGAAAAGAGATTTAAATAAAAAAAACCTATTTTACACTATTTTAAACCTAGTTCAAGAAGGTTTTTGTTTGTCCTGTGATTTTGGAATGGGATATTTCGCTTGCCCTGGGAAACAGTCGTAAAGCACTATAACGATTGTTTTAATTTTTCCTCATTTTTTGACTCCATCGGGTGATGTACTAATAACTGTAATTTTTTTCAGAATTTTTGCAAAACATTTTATTATAAAAACACGACGATGTCTTTATTCCAGGAAAATTATTTAGCGCGCAATGTTACAAGTAGCGGCACGAAACTCTAGCGCTGACCGTTATTGCGCAGAAGTAAAAAATAAGGTAGGTACCTGAGGGGGGGCTAGCGGGCGCGCGTAGCGTCGATTGGCTCTCCAGTCGCATTCCGTCCCCCGCGCGACAGTACACATGCGCAGCAATCCCCTCCACGTATCGGCCAGCGCTAGATTTACGTGCCGCTGCCTATAGTATTACTCGTTTACCTAATTTTGCCTTCCTTGAAATAGATAGCAACAACCATAAAGATTTAGTTTAAATTGTAATTCTATCATACCATTGTAATTATATAAGTTAAAGCAACAGTTTAAAAACAAATATAGTGCGGTAATATTAAATTTCTAATTCACCAATATTACCGCGAAAAGTATTAATAGTAATAAATTATTACGTTCTAGACATTCGTCAAAATTACCGTCGTAATGTGCCGTTACTGTGTCGTCCGTAATTATGTTTAAAGAGAATCGTAAAACCCTAATACAATTAGATAAATTACTGTAATACATTACGTTATTTATTAACTATTTACACTAAATAGATAACAATGTTTAAATTGTCGAAAAGGAGAAAAATAGCTTTCATTTGATATATGTATAATTGTATGTGTAATGTACTTCGTATTACTAATGTACTCCTAGTAATAATAGAAATATTTTTTTGCTATTACGACTGTTCCCCGGGGCAAGCGATTTGAGTATGAAAAATTATGCATGTATCTTTGTCAACGTTTAATTTGTGTATTCCATGCCCGTCTAGAACGACTTAAGTCTACTTTCAGGGCTGTCAAAACACTTTTTCTGTATGAAGATTGACGACAGACCGCAAAACGAAATTGTTACCTGGGATACGAATTAGAAAATGGTTTTTGTTCATCAAAATCGGTTGAGTAGTTTTTGAGATATTTACGCATATCTGGAGGAGGATTTTTCAAAATGTTATTAGATTAAGAGTTTCTTGGGAAGTCTTAGACTCTGTTTATTAATGTTTACAAATTAAGCACTGTAGCACAAGTAGTTTTAAGAAAATTGATGTCTATATAATATTTATTAAAATCTAAATGTATATTTTGTTGTAAATGGATCAATGCTTGGATAATTGTCTACAACTATGAATTTCTATTAACAAACGTGATACAGGACCGAGTTAGTTTGGAAAATGAAATTGGAATAACTGATATTGGTTAAAAAATATTCTTAAATATGCTGTCTTTGAACGTCACTATTTTTTATTGAATGGGGCAAACGGGCTGGAGGCTCATCTGATGCTTAGTGATACAGCCGCCCATGGACACTTAATGCCATAGGGAGCGTTCACGTATTACGTCACGCAATTTTTGAGATTATTGACCCCCCCTCCCCCCTCAATGTAACGCGCCGTAACGTTTTTCTATAGAAGTTACTCTACTCAAGTATAGTAAAACGTTTCGTGACCACCTAGTGACTCGTTATACCTTAAAGTTACCATTATGTGGTGTAAAGTACCTAAAATAAATAATATAGTATCGAAAATAATATTAACAACTCAATCCTCGCCCCGCATCGTAACGCTTTACAAAAGGACCCCCCCCCAAATTCGTTACGTAATACTAGAACGCCTCCATAGGGTTCGCGATTGCCGGTCTTTTAAGAATTGATACGCTCTTTTCTTGAAGTACTCTAATAGTTTAAACTCTTAGTGCTTGCAACCCTGTAGGTTGGAAGTTAATTGCAGCAGTCAAGAAGAGTGTGACATGAGATACGAATATGGTAATAGTTAATTATCTCGAAAACTAGATGGCACTGCAAAGAGCGATCAAATCGCTGTCCAAAGTAATAGTTGTGGACAATTGTATGGCGTTAGAGTTGGAAAATTTGTGTCATTATTATTAAATTAGTTTGCGCATATTATTTTGTGTAAGGGTAAGGTTCAAAGTCGAGACTTGGCGCGAACAGTGAAGTAATTTTTTTGACATACGGTAGCGCGTATTAAATCTGTCATTTCAAAAGACAGGTCTATATATATTCATATGACATTTGCATGCCTATTTTTAAATGGCAGATTGTGCGGTTTTTTATTAATCAATCTGAATGTCCAAATAAACTATTACTTATTAAACGAATAAAGAAAAACAAAACGCGCGTGTCTCCGAGTCCCTTATGTCAAACTTGTTTTGACAATTGACATATTATGATAGTCCTAAGTCTAGACTGAATCGTACCCTATGTGTATATCATAAGTTTTTTACCCATAAGAAGGTTTTGCATTTACCATTAAAATCAATAAGAAATCTTAGAATTGCGCGTAAGTCATACATAATTGCATGTTGAATATGTCTTATAAGAGTAATCCTACAGTCTTAAGTTATAAAATAGAAAATTCTCGAAAAGCACTCCGTACAATAACTGAAATGACAATATTTTAATGGCAGCTTAATTTATTTTAGTATTTCAGGCTAGTATTTAATTGATTTGACAACTGACTCAGTCCGCCATTATTATAGATTGTACAGCAATAGTGTTTGCATAGACTATGTGACTCTAGAAGTAAAAACCTTCTTATGATCTCAATAATCTGAATGAATCTTAAATTTTTTCCTATTTTTAGCTTTAACTGTGGTTATTTTTTACCAATAAAGTTATTATATGTGATTTTTTTATTTCTTTAATACAACTCATTTAGCCTATTTAGAATTAACTTCAATACACACCAAAGAAGGCCCGAAGGCCTAAAAAAAAGAATCAAACAGTGCTGGCCACAGATGCCGCTATTCATTTCCTATTCCTAGGCCTCAGTCGTCGACAATTAGAGTAAGATTCATAAAAGAGACGTAAGTTTATATCTCTGCATCTTCTACCGCATTTACCAAGGAGAGTCTTCAGCAGAGTTCATCGGATTAATACCTGCAGCTGAGTTTCATCTTCGGACGTCGAGGAATACGAAATTCAAAACAAATACAAAATAAAAAAATAATATTAACTAAAAAAAAATTGTGCGTGTACTAGGTGTACACACGTAAGAAGTGAAACTTCTTTATGATCTTATTTTTCGAAAAATTATCACTTATAATACCACAAGAGCTTCAAAATTAATAAGATAATTTTGAAGCTCGTGTGGTATTCGGGGGATTATTTTTCCGACCCAATTGTCGGCCAAAAGAATTGCACCATGAGACGAAATGTACAGTTAACAAATAAGAATTTCATAATGAATAAAACAACTACTTAATACTTTTCTTGAAGCAACTACCAGAGAAAATTTTCAAAAAATTATCAGTATAATACCATGTAGGTTGTACCACGTGACGTCGAATGGTGCAATTCTATTGGTCGATATTTGGGTCGGAAAAATAATCTACTATATGCAACTTTACAGAAATTCGTTAAATTAGATAAAGTTTAACAAAAGGCTTTTATTATCATAGACATGAATACAAATATTTCATTTAACCTTATTACTACGAAGATTATTATAGAATTTCATTAATTGTAATAGAATTATTACTATCATTGAAAAACGTGACGATTTGCTACAAAATTTCTCCCATACGTCGATAAAGAAGTTTCATTCCAACGCCGATAAAGAAGTTTGACTTCAAAAAGCAACATGGCGCGTAACCGAAAAATGTGACGCGTAACGAAAAAATTTTACACTAAATTTTTTTCCAACCTCGATAAAGAAGTTTCACTTCAAAAAGAAAAAAAAAATAACAATAATTACCAAAACTAAGTAACTAGTAATTATTATATACCTATCGAATTATAAACTTCTATCTAAACACTATTTGATGTTCGTTAAAAATAACATGGAGGGTTTCATTCAAGATGAGAGTTAGATACAGATGTGTTATATCTATATAATAAAGTGGCAAAATTATTGCATAGGGCAAATAGAAACATTTAACAAAGATAGATTTGGTACAGCTTTTAAATAAAAAATATAAATAGAATAACGAGATACAGGTCAAAGGTAATAATAATGTATTAGAAAATTAGATTAATATCAGTTTTATTTATATTGATAATCGAATCCAGTACATGACTACATAAACCACTGAGCCACGAAGGAATGTCTAAGATTAGTTCTGCCTTTATTAAACTAATTGGCAGTTAAAAATAATCGAACAAAAATATATCAAATTTAGTTTGTTAGAGAAAATGGAACTGAGAATACTGCTTTTTCATTTAGTTCTAGTTCATAGTGGATATCCACCGGTAATTATCTTTGGATACTTATTATCTTTAATTATAAAAGTTTGCCAGCACCCTACTTGACGGAAGGTAAGATACAGGTTTAGTTGAACATAGGTATACAAACGAGATCTCATGGAATCCAACCGTACGCCTGGATGTGGTGAAAACGTGACGGTTGTATCAGTATTAGAGCTCCGATGCACGCTCGCCAAAATGGATAGAGAAGAGAAGAAGACAGAAGGTTGAGAGACTGGCTACTCGTCGGTCAAGTGGCAGAAACCGTTGATTACAGATAGTTACGTTTTTTTATCATAAGAAGATTCATTCAATACGCATTGGGCTAGCGTGGGGACTACAGACCCTTCCCTCTAAGAAAGGAGGCATATGGCAATTAGTGGTACATATACAACGTGTAAATGAGTACACTGAAAATCTCGAACTTTATTAAAATTAAACTGAGTAGGGGAGATTTTTACTGATAGGGCCCTATCAAAAGAGTTTGCCTCGGGCCCCAGAAGGGGTAGTTTCGCCACTGGTTACCGCTGCGCCTGCTTAAGTTCTCACTTCTCATGTCATTTTCAAACATGTATATAACATGTTTAAGAGACAATTTAAAAAAATGGATTTTCACAAACCTTTAGGCTGATAAAAACACATTTTTATTACAGTCCGGTGATGAAGTAATACCAGGCAGTGTACTGCTTCCAGCCACAAGACGTGGGAGATATCTGGCGAACATCGTGAGAAGACAGGCTGTAGTACGTATGTCGTCATGTGACGAAACTCACTAGTGAATCGATTTTAAAATCATCCCATCAGTAGAACGCTATATCACTGTGTCACAGGCTATAATATATCAGTTTATAGTCGTTGATTTTTATTGTTTTATTATTTTTATATTGTGTATTCTCTGTATGTGTACGTATATGTTTCGTTAATAAGGATTTTAAACTAAATAAATAAATAAATAACTCCATAAATATTAAAGAAATATCCTTTATAAAGGATAACGTCCCTGAACTAGGTTTTGAAACGTTAAAATTACCGTCGGACTAAATGTTTGGAAGGCATGTATTAAAAATGCGCTATCAAGAAAAAAAAATTGTTTAAACAAAAAAATCCAATCACATTAACCAATTATTAATTAATAAAAATTCACTCTGACTTTTGTTTTAAGTAATTAATATTTGCAGGATGGAACGGGTATTAAGTTTAACAAGGATGCCGACAGAGTATGTATATTTAAAGTTTTAAATTTTTTAAAGTTGCTTAAAAGAAGATGTACAGCATATTAAAGGCACCCCTATAATAATACTAGTGGCGCTACAACTTTCTGGTCTGGGATTCCACCTTTTAGGTCTGGATTTCTGTCTGTATCGTGATGATTTTCTTGGTATTTGGCCTTTTTGTATTTAAGTCATAGTAGTTTCCTCTGAGCAGTGTTGGCCTAGTGGCTTTAGCGTGCGATTCTCATCCCTGAGGTTGTAGGTTCGATCCTCGGCTGTGCACCAATGGACTTTCTTTCTATGTGCGCATTTAACATTCGCTCAAACGATGAAGGAAGGAAACCGACATGTCTTAGACCCAAAAAGTTGACGGCGTGCTTCAGGCACAGGAGGCTCATCACCTACTTGCTTTATATATTGACAAATGATCATAAGAGATACAGAAATCAGAGGCCCAGACCTAAAAAGGTTGTAGCGCCATTGATTTTCTTTTTGTATTTGATGGCACACTTATACTGTAAATCGATACCACATACCCATGAACATAAAACATGGTATTTCAGTATTAGACTCCGTTGTGGTTGCCACAAATATATGTGCAATCTCTAAGGCAATACAATCCTGCGTTGCGATTCTGTAACTCACTTTTCGAACTCTCACAGCGGATTTGGCATTCTGATAAACAATAAACTACAAGCTCCCTCCTTTTATCCGCTGTGAGAGTTCGAAAAGTGAGTTACAGAATCGCAAGGCTGCTTCAAAGTTTTTTGTTTCGTATTAATTAAATATAAGTTTATTCCAGTTTTAACTAAAGCAGCATTATTTTAAAACAATGAAAATATTGACAGAAAGAGAAGGGTGCAAATAGATTTAGTTGAATAGAAGGATTTAGGAGATAAACTTTAGCAATTTACAGATCAACGCAGAGGCTAAGAAGAAGGTGGATGTTCTGTCCGAAGAACTGTTACCATACATAATAGCAGAACAGGAGAGGCGTACAACTTTGTACAAGCGTATAATGACTGCGATACAAAATGGTGAAAAAGGCGTCACCATAGCCGAGATTCGAAATAAACCACCGTTGATTATAAGAAAAGGTATCAAAAGATATTTTCCTTTTATTAAAATATTCACAAAAATACATCTAACTAGCGAACTGTGGAATCGACCCCCAGTGGGGGTCTTCCCTCAGAGATACGACCTCCAAATGTTTAAAAATCCAGTGTACTCCTCCCTCAAAGGCCGTCAACGCAACCACTAAAAATGGGTGTCTATGGGCTGCGAAGACTGCTATTTTTGGTCGTCCCGCAAGCCCGTTTGCCCCCCTATTATATATAAAAAAAACCTACTAAGCCAATACGATAATGTCAAAAACAATAAAATATAATATTAAATAAATAAGCAGTGGCGTAACTATACCTTATGGGGTCCTATCAGTAATAATCGTCACGTAGTACTCAGTTTAGTTTTAATATACTTCGAGATTTTCAGCGTACTCAATTACGTATACACGTTGTATATGTGCTACTAATAGCAATAGGCCTCCTCTCTTAGGCGAGAGGGAATGGTTTGTAGTCCCCACGCTAGCCCAATGCGTATTGGAGACTTTACATTCATCCATAGAACATAATATCTCTTGGACAGGGGCCCTCTTGGGTCGTGGGCCCGTGGCATTTTGCCAGCCCTGCCACCCTATTGTTACGCCACTGACCCCACCATCCCTAACACGAAAAATATATTCTATAGCGTTACATTGTAGTAGATATGTTAACGTTGTTTATAAACTCTTTTGCCAAAAAATGGGCTTTTAAGGAAATTTACGTTTCAGATAATTAAATGAAATTTAATTGACTGACGTAATCTGTATACTTATAACCGTGTAAATGAATTAGGTAGTTTAGTTTTTCGGTGCCCGATTTTTTGCAAAAGAGTTTATTTCTTTACGTTTTTTTGTCATAGTTATTGTGAAAGTTATTTAGTGATGTAGTTTCCGATTTATAATAAATACATAAATTAAAAGTATGATAAGCTTTTCAAATGTTGAAAACACTCATATGTTAAAAAATCGAGAAAACGTTTCATTCTATGTATCTAACGTATTGTACGAGCCAAGGCTGTACATTTTCCTCACTCAGGCTGTCTTAGTTTTATAAGCGTGTTGATTTCTTAAATTATGGGAGTTACGCCCCGAGAGTATAGCCAGACGCAGGCACTCTCTTCGACTGTTACATTGCATTCATTCGTTTTATAGCAATTGACTAAAGCATGGGAGTTACGCCCCGAGAGTATAGCCAGACGTAGGCACTCTCTTCGACTGTTACATTGCATTAATTAGTTTCATAGCAATTGACTAAAGCATGGGAGTTACGCCCCGAGAGTATAGCCAGACGCAGGCACTCTCTTCGACTGTTACATTGCATTCATTCGTTTTATAGCAATTGACTAAAGCATGGGAGTTACGCCCCGAGAGTATAGCCAGACGCAGGCACTCTCTTCGACTGTTACATTGCATTCATTCGTTTTATAGCAATTGACTAAAGCATGGGAGTTACGCCCCGAGAGTATAGCCAGACGTAGGCACTCTCTTCGACTGTTACATTGCATTAATTAGTTTCATAGCAATTAACTAAATCATGGGAGTTACGCCCCGAGAGTATAGCCAGACGTAGGCACTCTCTTCGACTGTTACATTGCATTCATTCGTTTCATAGGAAAAACTAAATCATGGGAGTTACGCTCCGAGAGTATAGCCAGAAGCAGGCACTCTCAAAGTGAAAGTCAAAGTCAAATCATTTATTTCAATTAGACCATCTAAAATGGCACTTTTGAACGTCAAAAAAAATACAAAGAAGATTCTAGTTGCCCCTTCCAAAAGGTAGTTTCGTGTGGAGAAGAATGGGAAACTCCACACTTACTCTTTTTAAAATAGGTTTACAATATTTTGTTACATTTGTTAAATAATTATATGTGAAGACAATGTACTCTTAGAATAAACTACTATACTAAAAAAGTTAGTATACATGTTCCTCACATATTTACAAATATCGAAACCGTAGAATATTAACATTAAAGAGTAATAAAAATATTAAAAAAAACAACAAAACAGTGTGTGAGATACAATAAAATAATTACATTTGTAGCATTATAAATTAAAAAAAAAGAAATAACAAAAATATGTAAAAGCAAAAAATCAGCAACCAATTTGATTTTGTCCAGGCTCTATGATTGTCCTATGGAGCAGGACCAGCATGTTTCCAAGCATTCTTATCTTGAATATAATCATCTAATTTGTAATATGCTTGTTTACAAAGTGTACTTTTAATAAAACATTTAAATTTTCGTTCATTTAGTTTTAAAATGTCACCAGGTATTTTATTGTAACATTTCACACAGTACCCCATAAATGAATTTTGAACTTTGGCTAATCGGAAAGATGGTTGAGCTATTTTATCTTTATTTCTAGTACTAAAATTATGTCTTTCATTTATTTTACTAAAAAGATGTAGATTCTTTCTTACATACATAATATTTTCATAAATGAATTGGCAAGGTACTGTCATAATATTAATCTTTTTAAATAGTTCCCTGAGCGATTCGCAACGACGTAGATTATAAATGGCTCTGACCGCTCTCTTTTGCAAAATAAAAATGGATTCTATGTCAGCAGCCCGACCCCACAGTAAAATGCCGTAAGACATTATGCTGTGAAAGTAAAATAAACCAAACGACTTCTTCGACTGTTACAATTCATTCATCGTTTCATAGCAATTAACATTATTTCATTTATATTATATTGTTTTACGCAAGAGGTTCTCTATTATGTAATGCACCCCGATGACCCAGGAACCGTTCAAGTATTGTTAAAGAAATTTATGAATAAATAGTTTGTTTGATTGGAGTAGCTATAATATTTAAAAGTCCATTTATGGAAGATAATCACGTTTTTAGCTATTGTTTATATATTATTCTCAGGAATGCTTTACCGATGCCCATCAAACCGAGCCCCAAAAGAACCAGATGGATCTGGTATCCTCATGTGTGAAGACAGCATCGAGCCGAGTCAAGTAATGTACGACTCCTGTCTCAGTGCAGAGGACAAAGAGCTTTATGTTGCTGAGAATAATTACTTCTTTTGTAATCGTAAGTAAGATATTAAAAACGTTTAATAATTTAAATGAAATATGAGCTCTCGACACTTACGCTTAAATAAGCGACTACATACATACAACTACATACGACTGCCGATTTGCCAGTGTCAAGAAAGCACCAGTAAGCGATCAATAATGCATAAATTGTAACATCCACATATTTTTTCGCCTTTAAAGTAAGCTCCTTCAACTACCATACACAATAGACAAATCCAAAACCTTTTTTAAAAGCATAATCGTGAATGCCTTTTTAAACGCTTTTTCGAATTCAATCTAAAAATGAATTTGTCGACCATAAACAAACATCCATTCACGATACTATTTAGACAGAATCAGCAGTTACAGCATAAACTCAAATAGCTGCCTTGCGATAAGCAGAGAGCTTGTAGTTTATTGTTTATCAGAATGCCAAATCGTAAAATGACTGCTTTACGACTGATTTGAGCGCGACCGCCGCTGCGAAAACGGCTGTGAGAGCTCAAAAAGTGAGTTACAGAATCGCAAGTCAGAACCGAAATTATTATTAATTGTTTCTCTAATACAGGTCACAAAATCGAAGGTCCTGACTTGCCACGAAATGGTTCAACCGTTATAGGTTGTGCGCCGATAGAGAGGACATCTCTCAACTACACAAACCTCAAGTGTGCCTTGGAGGACACGGACGATGTTGTTGTGCATTACAGATATTATCCTGATAGGGTAAATACACTTTCAATATCCGTATTACGTAAAAAAATAATCAGTGGCGCTACAACCTCAGATTTCTGTATCTGTTTCATGATCATTTGACAATCTAATAGGCAAGTAGGCGATCAGCCTCCTGTGCCTGATACAGGCAGACTTTTTGGGTCTAAGGCAAGCCGGTTTCCTCACGATGTTTTCCTTCACCGTTCGAGCGAAGGTTAAGTGCGCACATAGACAGAAAGTCCATTGGTGCACATCCGGGGATCGAACCTACGACATTAGGGATGAGAGTCGCACGTTGACATGAACACCTTACCCTAGCAGAATAGTCAATAGAATACTTATCATTATTGGTGTGTCTGTGCATACGAGTATGTGTGCGTGTGGGCTTGTGTGTTACTAGGGGCTACTCCTAGATCATTTCCTACATAACGCGTAGTTCGACCCTCATCAAGCAAAGCGATAGCTCGGGAGACATGCAATTCAGTCAGATCTGGCATTATGACCTAAACTCACTCGCTTCAATGAATAACAATACTCAAAAGGCTCACTTCAATTTCTATTAATACTCATAAGATTGAAAAAAACTACTTAAAATGTGTTTTCTGTGATTAGAAAGTAATGAAAATTCAAAGACGTCACTTTGTTTTTCGTCTACAATGCAAATTTTAATTTTTTTTTAATAAAAAAAATACAAATTGTTTTTTTTATTAATTGTAGTAATTAACAAATTAACAAGGTAAAAAATAGCGTACAAGTTAATTTAAATCTAATTTTAGTTTAAGCAATAGAAAGGAGAAAAATCTTGTTCCGCTAATTGTTTTGAGCAGTATATATTATATATATATATATATATATATATAATTTTTGTAAGAGGCCTTAGCGGCGAAACAGAAAAAAAATTAGATATAATAATAATGGGCACAAATTATATTTATGTGTTGCGTTACGAGAAATGAAAAGTTGCCTCAACAATTCTCCAGAAAACAGCTAATTTTAAAAGTTTAAGATTCTTGTAAAACAGCTTCTAGAAATGGTTCGATAAATGTTCATCATTAATTTACTTCTGCAGACGTACAAGTTTGTGACGGAACTGGATCCAGACCGTGAAGTCTGCGATCACTGGAACCCTTGTCAGATCGGCTACATTTACAGCCTACCTAGTCCCGACCAGGCCTTACTAGCTAGCGAACTATGGCGTAAGTTACTTATCTACTATCTATATTAGTTTAATACTATCTGTATTGTAGAAAAAAAAATTACTGCCGAAGAAATGCATCAAAATGTGGTTGTTATTGTCATAAACACAAAGACAAATTAAAAGGCGGGAAACGCACTCACGAATCCTCTGGCATTGAGTGTCCATGGGAGTATCACTTAACATCAGGTGAGCCTCCTGCCCGTTTGTTCTACAAAAAAAAATTATGTAAGTGAATATGATTAAAGAATCTCTCTGACAAGATAGTGAATGAAATGATTGATAGGTTATACACGTATATATTTATGTGAGACTAGATAGTGACTATTATTAATGATTATACCATAACAACCGAATTAATGTGATATTTTTTGAGGGTATGTATAAAATATACTGCTTACCTCCATTCTAGCGAGCAGTGTTGGCCTAGTGGCTTCAGCGTGAGACTCTCATCTCAGAAGGTTCGAACTCCAGGTGTGCACCAATGGACTATCTATGTGCGCATTCAACATTTTCTCGTCTACGGAAAACATCGTGAGGAAAACTTAAAACTCAATGGCGTGTGTCAGGCACAGAAGTGATTAACTACTTGCTTGTCACAAATAATAAGCGATCACGATACACAGAAAACAGAGCGAATTACGAATTCGCAGTTCCTGCGATGCGATTTAGTGCGACAAACCGTTTGGTAGGGCGACCATTCCTTCGTAGTCAGCTGTACTGAATGTGTTTTAAGGAAGCGTAAGACGATCGCAAAAAAAAAATTGCACTGCTGTTATTGTTAAATAGATATAAAAGAAAAAGAAGATTCTGGGTTCATCCATTTATTACGATTATGAACTCTGATGGGAACTATGTTACTCAAAAGTACTATGCGTTGAGAACTGAAGAAGATAATTTTTTTGATTATTTTAGAATGAGCATATCTTCATTTGAAGAGCTTTTGAGTTTATTATCACCATGCCTTCAAAAACTATCGTACAAGGGGAGAATTTATTATAATTAATTTTTTATAATCGTCATCACTTGTGTCCCAAAGGACGAGACGCTCGTCAATTAAAGATATTAAAAAATCTATATCATTCCGCCATTTTTTTTAAAAACAAAGAAGGCGCGCGTCTTTCTATAAGCTGTCTCAGAGCGGACTAAAATGGCGTCACCAAGGATCACGTAATATCGCAGGAATTTGGGATGCGAAGCAGATCGGAAATTCTTGCGGTGCGTTCGTGCGAATTCGCCGATATTTGCGATACGATGCGAATTCGCGGTTTTGTGTGGGAGCGCTTATGTTGGTAAATAAATACTTAATTCTAGGCCTATTGTTTTAGCTTGGATGAATCAAAACTGTGTGCCATGATGTCGATATCAATAATAATTTGCGTCAAACATAATTCATATTAATTTGATAACGTAATAATATATTTTAATAATGTAATATTTTATCACTACGAATAATATAAGAATTGACTATAATGATATGACTTTTAAGAAGGCACGCCATTATGTGTAGACGAATATGCGAACTTTAGATTGTACCACCATAACATTTTTGTACCATATTCTTGCAAATAAATTATTATTATAATAATATATATATATTATTATAATTAGGGTAACGTTCAGAATCGAGATTTAGCGCTAAGCATGACTTTCGTATGTCATTTTCAATACGATTTTGACATATATTTTATATATGTCAAATATATATTTTTTCGTTTTTTTTTACAGATAACTATGGTAAGTTTTTTGAAGCTTTTTTACTTAGTGAATTTAAATTACATCTAAACATCTGGAACGAAATTTTATACCCGATTAATTAGTAAGAAAAGTTATTTCCCATTATGCAATTATGAAAAAGATCTATTATAAGCGATAAGATCGCCCGTTGATTTTTTACCGAGTTTTATTTTTATTGATTAATAATATTTAAACGTTTTTTACAGTTGAAAGTAAGTTTATTACTTTTTATAATAGAGAATTATGAATAAATACTTTTGGTCCATGGACACAGAGAGCAGATACTATGGCAAAACTAAAGCAGATTTCAAGTTCTATTATTTATGGAATTAAAATAACTTTAGTCAGATATATGTCTAGTCTACAACTCTATATCTTCTGGATTCTTCTTGCCCGCTCTACGCCCTTGACTTGTGAACTGGTAGTAAATGTAAATTTAGCATCAATTTAACATCTTTTCTGTTGACGTTCATAAGTGTACTTGGTTACCTATATGAATAAAGTTACTATGAGTTTGAGTTTGAGTACATTCTGCTTCTTAGTTCGTTCTTCTCTTTCTCTTATAGACAAGTAGGAGATCAGCTATCTGCCACTGGATATAAGACAGCCATATTAATTTCCCTTACTTTAATACTATTTATGCACCAAGATTTGATCGCACGATTTCAAGCTACTACTAACACTTTGGAATTGTAATGTGAATATGGTTGGAGGTTTCGAGGGGATTTTATTTAATTTGTATTATGCAATAATTTCGTGTTTATATTCGCTTCAAACACGAAGATTAATATAATTATCTACTCATGTGAATATGTATTTTAGGTCCTTACATATGAAATATTAGCGTTATGTATGGAAGACACAAATAGTTGTTTTTTTTTAATAGAATATAATTAATTAAAGTACCATTGCTATCTATGCACTTTTGCCATCTTATAGATAGTTCTAATCCCTTTATTTAAAAAAATATTTGGACGGGGATCAATAAAATCTTTGAAGGCGGTTTCGACTGCCCTATCAGAGTTGACTTTGGAATTCCTAACCAAAGAGGATATATTCGAGGTCAAAGTGGCCAGTACGACAATACACCAATTTCATATGTAAGGTATATTATGTATAATTTAAACTACATTATTAATGATTTAATCAAATATTTCCAGGACAAGATGGTATGTTTAGTTTTTTATATGCAACTCCGTCCGTTAAATTAATTAGCCTGTATATAATTATATTTATTATTAGCATATATATACCCAACCTATATATTTATGTAAAAAAACATTTAAAAAAATGTGTTTATTCATTATAAGTACATATGCATTACAATGTATAAGATTTGGGATCCCTTTTAAGTAAGAAATACCTATGTCAGGGTTCCCAGCTCTCCATAACAAACTTCATTATAAATTCCTTAAAATATATATTTTTGTTTTTGGATTTTTCAACCGTTACCATTACGCCTGAGTGTATGAGTTAGTGTGTGGGTGTATGTTAGATATATAAAAATATATAACAGGGGTGTAGCGCTCTTTTCTTGAAGGACCATAAGTCGAATTGGTTTAGAAATACTTCAGTAGGCAGCTGGTTCCACATAGTGGTGGTTCGCGGCAGCCTGCCTTAAAAAAACGCTCAGTTGTGGAACGACGGACGTCGAGGTGATACGGGTGGAATTTCGTGTTCTGCCTCGACGTCCGATGATGAAACTATAGGGGGGGGCTGTACGCAACGGATGTTAGCTAATAATAGACAAAAGAACAATAGACAAATAGACTAGGTAGTGGTACGCTCTTATTTCGTAGTCATACCGGTTCAGAAATACTTGAAATGGCAGCTAGTGCCATAAACTGGTTGTCACGCAAGTAGACAACAATTTTGATGATTTTTTTTTCTAATGAATGACATTAATTTCAGAATACGAAAGTAAGTTGATTTATTTATAAAAATACATACACTATCCTTACACTGCCAATACTATAATATCAAACACAAAATATACAAAAATATATTAATTACATATACAATATCACTACTACTAATCAGCATATTTTTCTAAATTCCGTCTGCAAAAACCAACCTGGGAGTTGAGGCACCTCTCATTCGAATTCTTCGCGATTGTAACGGATTTAACAGTACTTATCCGGAGCTTGATATATTCGGTAGTGGGGTGATCAGTTTCAAAAAAGGCGTTGTTAAGTGCCTATCTCGTACACAATCCGCTACTTTGATGGTAATATTTTTTCTGCTTGACAAAAATTGCTGGTATCTATTCGTAACTAGTCATACAGTTTCTAAACTGAAAAAATCTAAAAAAAAAAAAAGATAAAAGAGTTTGTAACATATACCGTAGATATAGTATGATGTGGTAAACTTGAATAAATAAATAAATACTATAAACTCTCTCTGCGAATATATAAAGATATCGATTATAAAGTGATTCATTCAAGTTTATTATTTTCATTCCATATACAGTCGACTCTCGATAATTTGACACTCGTTAATTTGAATCTCTCTCTGAAGTTGAAAAAATTATCTTGCTCGCCAACATGCGATAATTTGAAATTCGATCTTCTCTATTCTCTATAATTTGAAGCGTTTATCATGCACAGACTTGTCAATTGTTTACATAAATGGGTGACAAGTGACGATTACTTTGCAGCTCTCACCACTATCGAAAATTCTTTGGACAATGATAAACTGAAGTCACTCACTCAAAAAAAGATTACAGACTTCTTTTCGAAATAAAAATTTGTGAATAATTGTTAATACATAATAAGAATATAGAAATAATAAGTAACAAATTTTGATCAAATTCTTATTTCCTTCAGTCGTGGTTATTCAAACACTTGTTATTTTGAACTCTTGATAATTTGAAATTTATCTCTGGTCCCTTGAGTTTCAAATTATCGAGAGTCGACTGTACTTAACAAACCTTCGTGATTATATCTTAATATTAATTATTATTTAATTGTAGAGGATGGTATGTACTTAAAAATAATTGTATATGCACCAAAACTGTATATTAACTCACTTTTTAAATTGCTTATACTTTCAATATTCTTTTAAAATGCTTTAAATTTTAATAAAATTTAGACTGCAATCTTTCTCTTTTATTATTATGGCAATAGTTTTAACTTTATGCCAGTTTTAAATCATTATCTTTATTTGTTTTTATTCCAAGTCCTTGGCACAGACTATGAGATTTATTATAGACTACACATAACTTGCATTTCAATGTGTACTAAAGGAACTTCTGTTACTGTTGGATTATGATTGATTAACAGTATCTAGAGATGCTGCTTCAACAGTGATGCCAACTCCTACAGAATGTTCCCCCTAGAACCAATATCAAATACCCTTAAATATCTTGGATATTTGATATTTATATTTGTTTTGGTTTTTTATATATAATATAAATTGTATAGAATTATGCGCTTTAAAAAAAAGTAAAATGCTTGCGTAAAGTATCCCTTAAAATCCCGTTAAATAAATTGACCTCCTAAAACCCCCCAGGACATCTTGATTCCCCTTTGAATTTGAAAAACCCGCAAGTTCCACTCTAGGTATCACTGTGTTCAATAAATCAATCTAGTCCAATACGCATTGAGACGTGACACGTGATGTTGTTTTGATCAATCAAAATCGTTAAAACTATTTTACATTTAAATTTAAAAAAAAATATTTTTTCTAGAAATTGTGCCGCGTAAGTATAATTAATTAGTATACTAATATATATATTTTTTTTAACGGGAAAAAAGGGTGGAGGCTCAGCTTTAGTCATAAGCCCAAGGGCGCTCACAATGTCAGCTTGCAAGAATTCAGAATTTCCGAAGCCGACCTTTTAAGAATTGCTACGCTCTTTTCTTGAAGGACCCTAATTAAAAACCGGCACCCTTGTTCAACCCAAAAAAAAAAAACACACGAGTTCAACACCAAGGTTCAACACCAAGGGCGGATTGTGAATTGGGGCTCTGGTCTATTACGGGGAAGTCCCCCGTGGTAGACGCACACGCAAAAAAATACACCGACCAAAAACAAGTGCCGGGGAATTCCCCGTTCCGTTCGATAGACGCGCATCGCACAAGGGTTGATTGATCTCAGGGATATCAACCCTATGATTGTTTTTAGTAGGGACTGGGGGCCCTTTCTATCAACGGGGCCCTGGGCTGCAGCCCATAAAGTCCTTAAGTAGACTGTAGATCCGCCCCTGAGTTAAACTGTTACACCTTTTTATCAGTAGTAGCAAAAACACGTCGAATAGATAACTTCCTACTAAGTTTTATTTTTGAAGTTCGTTATAATTAATAATTCTTTATTATTAATAATTCTTTATTATTAATAATTCTTTATTTGTAGCGATACCAGGTAAAATTTTTATTTGTTTATAATATATATGAAATCTTTAATTATTATTAACATACTTATAATAATAAGAATATTCACAGGGTTGAATATGTCAAATATATTATATATATCTGTTCCATTTTGATAAAAAAAATCTAACTGGAAAACAACCCAGATCAAAGGCATTGGGACAACATAACCGAATATCGTATAATATAAAATTGTTTTTAAATGACATTTGACTCGTAGGATCACGTGATAATTATACATATTATTTGCTACGGCATTATTTCTTAACCTATATTGTGCCATGCCCCACCTTACCCTTTCCAAATATACTTATATCCTCCCACCCCTTATGTAACATACATATATAGATATCATAAGATATCTAAAATTGAATTGCTCTCTTAAGATAGGTTTTAGAAAGAAATTACTTGGAACCCCCTGTGGGGCGTGGGCCTCACGTTGGGAAACACTGGTCTACGGCCTTCATTCATGTCATACAGTCTTTACTAAGTCACGGAATTTTATAATAAAATCTCAGAATGTGTTCACGAACTTTTGTCAATTATTTTAGAGGACAGCTTGGAAGAGTTTGTGTCGCCACTATCCACTGAATATTCGACGAGTCCACGAAAAGTCATCATTCCCGAAGGATACGAACTCAAGGCGGTCAAGCGGAAGAGGCCCCATAGCAATCAATTGGTAAGGCGTTCCAAAAATAGTATTTTTACTGGAATTACCATAATGATAACTTAAACCATTGGAGCGTGGTATCTTCCTAGTAATTGATAATTACGTTTACGATAAATAGGCAAATACAGAACAGAACCTTTTACAGAATATTAATATTGTCGCCCCTTATTAATTCCCAGGGTTTAAAATTAGCAGAACTCTCAAAATTCCGTCTGCAAAAACCAGAGTTCGAGCACCTCTCATTCTGATTCGCGAATATAACAGAATAAACAGTAAACACTACTTATTCAAAGCTTGATATATTCGGTAGTGGGCTGATCAATTTTAAAAAAGGATTAAGTGCCTATTTCATACCTAATCCGCTGTTTTGGTACTGTATTTTATTTTTTGACGTGACAACGTCGTATAATTCGATGGAGCCGGTTGCACGCACGAAAAAACATGACGCATGCGGCGTTACCTCGCTCTGAGGCGTTCCATTTAAGGCTTGAAGTGCAAGCGAGAGCGCGGAACGAGCGACAAAGAGGCACAATCGGCCTGCGCGTTCGGCTCAATTCAATTGTGATTTCCATTTACCTCCTTCTCTATATCCATACAAAATATCTATCAAACAAATAAAATTAAAATTTTCTTTTGAAGAATGCAACCATTCCATCAGTATTTTCTTATGACGTTGTCACGTTTAACCATCGTCAGTAAACCGACTTACAGACAACCGATTTTTTTGTAACATTTATGTTTACCATAATTTTTATAAATTTTAGAAACGATAGCTCGTAACATATACTGTATATATACAATTATGTGGTAAACTTCGATAAATAAATAATTTTTAAAGAAAATTCTTCTAACCAACCCAAAAAAAATAAAATTTCGACGACAATCGAACCTAATTTCCTATAATCTATGTGCTACAACCCACGGAGGCTATATATTGAGATAAAATATTTGCAGGAAGACCTAGACGACCTGTCATCGCCTACATATTCTCTCGAGTTCTCCCCTGACAAGACGTTCGTGACAGTCACTCTCTCCTTCTCTCCGTGGGCCAAGTCGAAGGATTACGGAGAGTACTATGTACAGTTTGGCAGTGCACGTCGCAATAAGGAGAAATATGTGAAATTGGTTATTTTATGTAAGTCACAGAACAACGATTTTGATAACAATAAATTTATGTCAAAATATATAACTGGAGGCAAATGGGCAGGAGGCTCACCTGATGTTAAATGATACCGCCGCCCATAGATGCTCACATTGCCAGAGGGCTCGCAAGTGCTCGGCGTATGCTCTCTTCTAGGCCTTTCTCCTCACTCCAGCATTTTAATGTTTATTCCAGTGGGAAGTATGACTACGATCTCCTACCGCACCATAGAGCTCTTGCAGGGTCAGCGAGCAAACACATCGAGTATTGCGTTCAAATGCAACAGATGCCGCCTGCTTAATGTTATTGTACGAGCCAGTGATAGCAACATATACAATTTAGACAGTTCAAGATATCGCTTAAGGGAATATCGAGATAAGTGAGTTTCTCTACCCATCGATTAACAGTTCTATGATTATTAATGTTATTTTGTGAGCAGTGATGGCCTAGTGACTTCAGCGTGCGACTCTCATACCTGAGGTCGTAGGTTCGATCCCCGGCTGTGCACCAATGGACTGTCTTTGTGTCCATTTAAAATTTGCCCGAACGGTGAAGGAAAACATTGTGAGGAAACCGAAATGTCTTAGATCCAAAAAGTCGATGGCCTGTGTCAGGCACTGGAGGCTGATTACTGGCCTATTAGATTTAAAAATGATCATGAAACAGATTCAGAAATCTGAGGCCAAGGCCTGAAGAGGTTGTAGCGCCACAGATTTCTTTTAATTTTATTTTATGATTATTCATGTTCTTTAACGTTCTTTTATTTTGTTGATTCTTTTCTTGAAATAATGATCAACATTTCTCTTGTTTTTGCCTTAAATTTGAAAGTCGGAATTTATACGTACCTACTCGGGTCTGATCCTCCGATGCTTTGAGTCAATTGTAGCAAATAGTCAAGTGTGTTCTAATGGAAATTTTGTTTCAGGGAAGGAAAACCGTAAGTAGTAGAAATACAAATCCAAAATTTTCGAATGCCAAGAATCAAAAAGAAAATCAGAAAGAAAGACTGATCGATGTAGTAACTAACACAAGCTATCACAGAATATGGTTGAAAGGAGTATTACGAATATCCATAGCGTAATATGACCTGCATCAAGAGCATATACACCTTCACGTACCTACTTACCGTCACTTTTACACCATCACACAACACAGCCAAATTTGGTACCACTTAGTTAAATGTATTGAATAATATTTATTGTTTGTTTTCTTTTGTAAATTTTTGAACCTTTTCGTAGTTAAATATTATGTATTCCATCTCTGGCTATATTTTTAGTGTAATTGTTTGTTATATATATAATTTTTGTTAGCTGTAGGATTAGGAGATAAATAAATAAACAAAAAAAATAGAAAGAAAATAAACAATAAAGATTTATATTTACTGAATTACACGAGGTGGAACGGTACTATGGGGCCGAATTTGCGCTTTATACGGTTGCAAGCGATGGTGTGTAGTACCGTCTCGCCTTGCTGTGCACACCAACCTTCTATAGGCTGATCACTAAATAACAGTGATCAAAGAAACTGATGCAATCTGTTCCCAACACCCAGGGGTTGTAGCGCTACTGGTTCCTTTTATTAGTTTGAAATTTACGTCTTTCAGAAAGCAACTACTGGAAATCGAAGTGGAGGGAATGAAGACACAAGATTTCGGTGATTATTTTGCAGTGATACAGAATGGCGAAGGATTGGAAGAGAGGGTTAAAGTTCTGAGTGTGCTAAGTAAGTATATAAGACTAATATATTATTAATTGTTAAAGATGTCATGTGGAACATGGTTTAATGGTTGCAGCTCCTTACAAACGTTGAGTAAAAAAAAAAAAAACATGGCGATTAAAAAGAGTGGCGGAGAGTTTATTGCCAGTTCTTCTCTTCCGTTCTACGCCCTTGATTTGAGAACTGGCACTAATATTATGTATTTCTTTACTGACAAGTCATAAGTGTACAATGTGTTATCCATATGATTAAATGATTTTTGAATTTTAATAATATCGTACAGCAATTCGGTGGCATTCTGAGTAAAAAACACAACCAACCAACCAAAAACCCAAAACAAAAAAAAAAAAAACAACAAAAATGCAAGCAGCCCCCCAGCCCAACAACCAGCAGTGCCACATACTTTTCTTGGCCGGTAAGAGAGTCGATGTCATGGATATTAGTATTGTCAGTAAATAAAACTTAACCATTATAAGGGGAATAATTTGGCTAACTTAATAATTTATTGTAAAATCGGTTGTCGGTAAAGTCGGTTTACTGACGATAGTTGAACGTGACAACGTCTTAAGTAAATACTGATGGTTGCATTTTTCAAAAGAAAATTTTAATTTGATTTGTTTGATAGATATTTTGTATGGATATAGAGAAGGAGGTAAATGGAAATCACAATTGAATTGATCAAGTTACATTTATTTGTACGCATAAATACAAATATGTTAATATTTAACGAACGAATGCTGCCGAACGCGGAGGCCGATTGTGCCTCTTTGTCGCTCGTTCCAAGCTCTCGCTTGCACTTCAAGCCTTAAATGGAACGCCTCAGGGCGAGGTAACGCCGCATGCGTCATGTTTTTTCGTGCGTGCAGCCGGCTCCATCGAATTATAAGACGTTGTCACGTCAAAAAAATAAAATAAATCCGTGGCGCTACAACCTTTTTAGGTCTGGGGCTCATATAATAGGCAAGTAGGTGATCAGCCTCCTGTGCCTGACACACGCCGTCGTCTTTTTGGATCTAAGACATGTCAGTTTCCTCACAATGTTTTCCTTCACCGTTAGAGCAAATGTTAAATGCGCACATAGAAACGAAGTCAGGTCGAGGAGGACCTACGACCTCAGGGAGAGAGTCGCACGCTGAAGCCACCAGGCCAACACAGCTCTGCTCTGCTCCAAATTATTGAAATTTCTTAATAAGACAATGTATACTAGAGTCTACAAAATAATTCTAGGCTTAAATAAATATGACACAAAGTTAGGAACAACTGAAATGATAGGTTTTGTACAGATGTACTATTAATATAATATCTTTTAAGACCTCGCAATCAGAACCGATCGATAATTAAAACTTTGCCATTGTAATTATGCAAGGAATAAAAATAAATACATTTTAGTTGGATTTTTATTAGATGTTGGTAGATAGTAAAATTATTTATTGTACGCACCAAAATAACGGCGGTAGTACCAATTTCAGCCGCCGGCCAAGAAAAATGTTGCACTGCACTACAGATTTAGCTTCAATGTGCCTGACGTTCCACGTATCCACGTCAGAAGGCGAGTTCGTCCACCGTTACTCTATGTGTCCACGTCTTGGACTAACCTTCTTAAAAGGACACATTTTTGTAAATAAAAAAAATGGAATCTGTCTCATTTGTACTATATTAACTAAAGCAACGATAGGCGTCACACAATCTTTACCTCGGTGAGAGGAAGATATATTTTATTTCAATTCAATATAAATAAAAACAATATTTAATTTTAAATAACTAATAAAAAAATTAATTCCAGCTCCCGGTAAGTAATTTATCTAAATATAATTTATATTGTATTGTCTTTGATTAACATAACTTTTATTCATTTAATAAAACACTATTTTGACCGGATTGAAGTTATGTATTATTATAAAATCCAAATTAAAATCTCAAAAAGAACAATCCGCGAAAATAGAGGACACCGTAAGCCATTTTTGCCAAAACCCTCCATCTTTTAGTCGATACCAACTCCGGGGAAATAAATACAGATAATGCAACTTTCTCTGCAGCTGTGATACTTTTTGACATTCAACATCTTTTGTATTCAGTCACCGTGACCACGCACGCTGTAAAGCACGCGAAACGTCGGATAAATTTAAAATTATGTTAAATAGTTGTAAATTTATAATAATACATAACTTCAATCCGGTCAAAATAGTGTTTTATTAAATAATTTATATTATTAAAAATGAATCGCAAATTCCTTTGGAGTAGAGACTCTTGGGCCGTGGGGTTCAAGTGCACAGGCGCTTATTAAAGATTTAAGTTGACCCCAGAGCTGGTGCTTTCCTCGCTCAACGAATAAGTATCGCAATATAGCGAGGAAATGCTGCCAGCGTGAAATGTACACTGCCACAGGGACCAAACTTTTAAAATTTGTTTTAATTTTCTTTTTATCAATTTTTAATTATTTTTATTAATACGATGTAGAAAAACAATAGGGTAGCATAGCAATGTTGCATAGTTTTAAAAGCTACTAAAAAGGTAGGCTAAGTAAAAATTATATTAAGGCACAATCCTAGGGTTTTGGCGGCCGATTGCATTTGTTTGATCATTTTTAATTCATAGACAAATGGTGATCAGCCTTCTGACACATGTCATCAACTTTTGGATTTGAGATATGGCCATGTTTTCCTTCACCGTTCGAGCGAATGTTAAAAAAAACGCACATAAACAGAAAGTCCATTGGTGCGCGGGGATCTAACCTACGACCTCAGGGATGATAGTCGCACGCTGAAGCCACTTTTATGTTTATTTTACTATTCATATTTAACCTTAAATTAGTTTAAGACCTTCTTTTTCGTTTCAAAATCCTTTTCGCAATCAAACTTATAACAAATTTATATTTTGCAATAGTTTTATGATAGCTTATGTTTAATGTGTATGCGATTAATTTTAATTTTGTTTTATTTCAGAAAAGGGTAAACGTCTAATTATGTTTTCTGTTATAATTTTTTTAATATAAAAACCCTTTTTTTACAATTATTTTTGTTAATTTCAGACACAGGTAACGATTGTTTATTCTAAAGCTTACTACATCTTAATATAATACAAGTACTGACATACATTCGTATGTATGTTGGTATTTAAGTTCAAGGCCCTGGGAAATCTGTTTCATTTTAGAAAATAATAAATGTAGAAATCTCTGCCCGGGAATAACAACTTATTATTTTCTTAAATTATTTCACACATAATACGCTTTTTATGGTACGACAAATTAGGCAGAATATACACAATACAACTATATCATATATAATATATATATAATAATAACTATATATAACTGTAGTTACAGAACGTCAGTATAGCTGCTTCGGTCGGTAAAGTTTAAGATGGATATTTCTTCGAGAAAGGCTATCTGACCGAATCAGCGCATCTTTCAGACAATCTGAATTAATTATAAAATGGTTAAGAAGGGAATTATCTAGAAAATTGTACTTTAGTAAGAACTTTTTTTCGTATTTATAATAGCGTTTTTGTTTTACAGAAAACGGTAATTATTTTTGTTAATAATTTAAGATCTCTAAGAACTTATTTTTACTAGTTAGATAAACGTAAAGGATAAAAATAAATCAAGTTTTCAACATTGAATTTACAGATTTGGAATTTATAAATTTTGTGATAAGTGCCAAAGACGTTTTTCAAACAAACATTTTTGCTACAATTTTATTTACTAAATTATTGTATGTCTCATTCAAGCCAAGGATGCAAACTTGGAGTTAATATTAAATGAATTAACGTAGCTGTAGTCCAATATTAGTCACACGAAGGGATCCATGATTTCGTATCTTTTAAAGGCAACGCACTTTCCAGCGCTCTGGCAATGGTAGTGTCTATGGGCCTAATGTATCACATAACATTAGGTGAGCACCCTGCCCCTGTTGTATGTAAAAAAGACTGATTTACATTCCCCTCCGGACAAAGTTGCAGTATTAAAGTAACAACATCTCTAATTCCCATGTAAATGGGTAAGAGTTGTTTTTTTGGATTAATAACCCAATATTCAGAATCACCTAAATCCAACGACTTTTTGACATAAGCGAGTCATACTCTGCGCTGTCTCGACTTTGAATGACAATCATGCCAATTGCTTACCGATCTATTTTTTAGCGATTAAAATCCAGCGCCTCAGTGCGTCGTTTGACGTGGGCGGCCATTTTGATCGCACAATGAATTACACGTGCGAAGAATGTTCTGTCACGGATATTCTGTGCAATGGCGAAAGCGTGCTGTCTGCTGGAAGAGTATCTGTAATACACGTCACCAATATGATTAGCTTCAATTTTCCAAGGTAAGTTATGCTAGAAGCAATGCGGCAAGTCAAGTCATTGAAACTTAAGAAATGGAGTGGATTTCCTTATCTTATAGATTAAATAAAAATTTGTTATTATGAACCCTACGACCTTGAAAGAGGTCTATGGATAGACACCTATCATTATGGCTAAAACATGTTCATACTTGTTCCTTCCTCTTTTTCATTTTGTACTTCCAAAATTTATTTTTATTAGGCCCATTTAAACGGCATTTTTTAAAGTCAACATTACAAACTAAAACTATTTTTAAAAAATGACTAGTTGCCCCTTCCAAAAGGTTGTTTCATATGGAGAAGAATGAGCAAGAAACTCTATACTTATCTTTTAGTATAGTTTTAACAATATTTTGTATACATTGATTTGATATAACTTCTATCCGCGTCATCTCTACTATTAATGGCTTTGAAAACCAGTCGAAACCTTGTATTATAATTGTAATTGTTATCTTTAGACGTTATAGTATGTATATTTCGTATATGTTCTGTGGATTTATTTCAGATTTGAAGACAACCACGCTTGCGTATACATGGGATTCTTTAAGGATAAGAACAAATTCATCAAAAAGATATTAGCTGTTATTGATAGTACGTATACTGTTTATTCCTTTGAATGTTTTTGCACTAAATGCCTTGAAAATGTATAACAACTAGAAACATAGCTTTTTTAATTTTCTTTGAAGAAACTGAAAAAAATATCACAAATCGGAAATTCGTATTCAAATTAATTTAGTTAAAAATTCCATAAAATTATTTAAAACAATGTAAATAAAATTATATAGTTTATTTTCAAATAACTTCATAACACGATATACATAACTTACTCTAAATGTTCTCGCTAATGTAATTCTTTGAGAAATAAAGTATCTTTGAACCGAAATTAAAAATACAATTTAAAAATAAATTTAGAAGCAATTTCAAACATCTAATTAATATTACATCAACATGAAGAGCTAAGGAAAGAAGTATACTAAATATAAATAAGATACACAAAGTCAAAACTGAATATATTAGACAAAAAACTAAAGGAGAATCCGGGAAAAACAGAGTGGGCAGGCCAAAGAGAAGGTGGGCTGATGCCATAATAGAAATAGCTGGAAAAGACTGGCAGAGTATTGACAAATAGAGAGATCTGGAAAGGGTTTGGGAGGCCTAGCTATAAGAAAATACTAACAACATTTTGACTGGAAATTAAGGATATGGAACTCAAAAAGGCTATGTTATTATTATTACAGCTTAGTAGTTATAACAATTAAATGTTTAAATATAATAAGTAATATAATTTATTTTATTCATAGCACATACATATTCATAACCTACATAGGTATCTTACATTATATTTGCGTTAAATAATGAGTAATATGTATTCTTGTGGAAATAATACTTTGACAAATTAGCCTTTGAAATTTTTACTCGTGACAAGTGAACGAATCTCCTATCTCTCCCTCACATTCTATTTACGATGTGTGAAAAAAAGATGTTTGCTTTAGTTTTTAAGGGAAAATCAAAACAGTGCCAAGCTTGACAAGTTAATAATTAAGATATTTTTCTTTTTAGATAATTGTAAGTATTTTTACCGCTTTTATAGATAGTGTAACGCGTATGAAGCCTCTAGAGTCTGAATTTGGTTCCCGACGAAACAATAATTGTTTTTCTCCTTTAAAAATATTCAACGTACACAAAAATGTTCATGGCTATAATGTAACCCAAAGGTTGGCCTTCTAGCAATCATATACAATATGAAGCGCATGCGCAGCCCTTGAATATGTAAGCCGGATAGTTGCCACCAAATCTCTGGGACTAACAAACTGTTTCCGATCGCTGAGTTTATTATTTAACTAAATAACGTATATAGTACGTTTGTGAATAATATCGCTTAATTAATCATTTACATTTATTTGTGTGTATTAATTAAAATTTTAATATTTAATTTCAGCACCTGGTAATGGTTATTTATATAATTAATTTATGTAGCTTTAACTGTCGGCTATTTATTTATTCCGTAATCCTACTAACATAAAATATATACAACAAAAAACTATACGAAACATATAGGCAAAGATGGAATATATAATATATACAAAAAGGTTCAAACATTTACGAAAGGTTCTCATATCTAACACGTTAAATTTTATGATCCTTTTTTTGCTGTCCCTTTTTCGTTTCATCGAATTTCAAATCACAACGATGCTAAAGAAGTTTTCACTTGAAAATAACAACTAAAAAGAGGAATAAATAACTATACTGAATAGAAACTTAAACCTCATTAAGAACGTGATAAACAAAGTTACGGTAACTTGGAAAATTTTTGTAAAGTATATTATTATCATTAATTTTAGTAATTAAGTTGTAAAAGCGAAGTAGCCTATTCACTGGACAATTAAAAGTAACAGATCATGTTGATCCTCTCACTTGTTGGTCAAAATAACCCTAAACGGGTTGTTTTATTACAACCACGAGATATCGCAGATCAAGAGGATCAAAAGGAGGTCTTATACAAGTAAATAGAGTCTAGAAGATGTCGTTATTCCAGGTGTTGTAATACCAGAAGTGGTGAAGTTGGCATCACCAAAGATCGGTGAGCAGTTCCAGCAGCAGGTGCCGTTCACCTGCAGTGATTGTTCTGTTGAAAAGGTGTGTTCAATTTTTTATGACTTTTGTGTCCCGTCATATTCTAGGTGTATCATACTTGTAGAAGTAACGTTAACACAGTTAAAATAAACAAAACATCTTTAGGGCTAGAGCTGTTCTAGGGAACCTGAAAACATGAACATGAACATGGAGAAGACCTTCTGCATCTAATAGTTTGTCTTAAAACAGGTGATCAGCTTTAAGTTGCCTATAATCGTGGGTCAAAGCCAATATCCTCGTCGTGGTCTTTCGACTACTACACAAAGCCCAAAGTCAAAAGTATTAGACAAAAACTAAAGAGGGAAAACCCGGGAAAAGAAAAGTGGGCTGATGACTTAACAGAAATACCAGGAAAAATTTGCAGACTCAAAGCAATGGGCTGGTCATGTGACATCTAAGACACATGGAGATGACATATTTTTGGATCTAATAGTTTGTCTTGAGACCGGCGATAAGCTTTTAGTTGCCTATCATCGTGGGTCAAAGCCAATATCCGCGTCGTGGTGTTGAGTTCTACACAAACCCATTCCGTTTTGGAACAACTTCTACTGGTAGTAACTGGCCAAAGCTGTACCCAACAATCCCACGAAATCTAGATCTTAAACTGTTAATTTTTACTATTAAAATTATATTATTATTTTGTGTCTGAGGCGCAACTGTTGTGGTCTCTGGCAGAATAACCAGCGCTGTGGAACACGTCTTCTCCACAGCATAATGCTGAGCCAGTTACAGACACAACGCACACACATTACACACTTAAAATGCACCTTAATTGTTAATTCCTTTTTCTTTCTTACCATAATTTTTGATATATTATTTTGATTATTATTTTGTGTATTTCTCTGTGTGTTTCGTTAGTAATAAAGGTTATGTCTGTCTGTTTGTATACAATTCAGATTTTCTTAGCTTTTAAGAATTAATTATCAATCTTTTGTTATCAGTGGTAATAGTGAATTATATTTAACTTAATTATCCGTGGCCCAGGGACTATATTATGTAAAGGTAATTTGACTTGATATTATTTCCAGGTGTTCGTTAATGGTATACCGCTAGAGACGTCATTTAGGCGGAATTCTGTTGGGTCCATTGCAATATTTACGGTATGTTCATATATAATAATAAATAAAAAAAACAAATTTAAATAAAATAAATCAGTGGCGCTACAACCTCTTTAGGTCTTGGCCTCAGATTTCTGAATCTGTTTCATGATCATTTAAATCAAATAGGCAAGTAGGTAATCAGCCTCCAGTGCCTGACACACGCCGACTTTTTGGGTCTAAGACATGTCGGTTTTTCTCACGATGTTCGAGACCGTTCGAGCAAATGTTAAATGCGCACATAGAAAGAAAGTCCATTGGTGCACGGAGATCGAACCTGCGACCTCAGGTATGAGAGTCGCACGCTGAAGCCACTATGCCAACACTGCTCGTTCATATATATAATAATAAAAAACGTGTGGCACTCGGGGACTGCCGCGGTAAAGCTATTGCATAGCATTTTTTATAAACTTATGCAATATAATTAGGTATTTATTTATTTTTTGCAGTAATTTTTTTTCTTTGATATTAATTCAATCTACCACTCTACCAGACTCAGAACACGCCTATCCGATCACGCTAAACCGATGTGAGACGCAGTATGCGTTCTGTCCCGCTCTAACGCGTATTGGCCGCACCTATATTACGTCATCGTGTGTTAGGTTTATTTTGTTACGGAATTTCTTGATTCGGTCGCCGCGCTCAAAGCCCGCGATAAAATCTATACAATAGCTTAATAATTATTTATTTTCTCCCATATAACATTGGAAACAAACAGTATGATTACAATTATGAAGGTTTTGGAAGACTATAAGATATGTGATGTTTTTGGCCGGCAATGCACTGTTGAGCCCTCTGGCACTAAGTGACCATGGGCGGCGGTATAAAATAACATCGGGTGAAATGTATTGCAACACTTAGCAAGTTTTTGCGTGGTGGGCGATTCGCGTTAAACCACGCCATGTATGGTAAATAGTTAAGTTTGGTTTCCTTATGTCACGGTCTCTTTCAAAGGCCGGCAACGCACTTGCAATCCCTCTGGCAATTTGAGTGTCTAAACTTGAAGAACTTAAACAAACTGTTTACGAATTCATTTCTTAATAAAAGTGTCCCCTTTCTATTTTGTAGTTACATAAAGATATCTTTATTTATTTATTTATTTGATCTTAAAATTGTACAATCAAAATCTGTATTGACGACATCGAAGGGACTAATATTTGGTCATAAAAACCGATATTCGTAACAGCCGATGACATTGTTAAGAACCTAATACAATAGAATTCAGCCTTTGATTTTGGTCAATATAACCGGTATGTTATTCTAAACGGTTTTGACTGTACTTTTTTTGTTCAGGCGACTTCAACAGAGATTACAATAAGTATAACAGAATACACTCCAACATATGAGGGAGTGTATCAAGCGGTATTTGCGTCTGGTTCCGATGCTGTCACTAAAACCATTATGGAGATACGGTTAGTAATATAAATCTATCAAGAAGGCATTTTTAGTCTTTATAAAATCTAAATGTTTGCCTATAAGTGCTTGTCACATTAATAATTGTATTTTATTTATCATGTACCAATGTATCAGTGTGCCGAGCGTTGACAAGCTTTTATAAATAAACTAGGTGACCCGGCAAACGTTTGTTTTGCCATGTATGTTTTTTGCCATTTTTTTAGTTCAATAAAAATAACTATCTACTATAATGAAAAATAGGGGTTGATCGTAGAGTTGTATATATTTTTGTATCATAAAAATGTAGGGTGGCCACCCCTTATCACTTTGGGGTTAGAAAGATATATAGTAGCCGATTCTCAGACTTACTTATGCATAAAAAATTTCATAATCAGTCGAGCCGTTTCGGAGGAGTATGGGAACGAACATTGGGACACGAGAATTTTATATATTAGAAGATAAATAAGCCACCAGACTTACACTGCTATATGCTAAAACGTGTATAACAGTTTTTAAATATACAAGCATAAAACTATTCAACAAGATTCGATTCAATTATTCGTAAATCTTTCTTAAAAACATCATCGGTTTCGGTTCGTAACTTGGCCAGATTTTGCGTGTTGGGGGAAAGGTCGCGCGTACTGCGTAATACTCCGGCCTACCTGGCATCTTGCTGATGATAAAAATAGATTAATTTTTGTTCAGAGATGAAGCTGAAACAACTCCAACTCAAGAAGAAACAACCGCTGGTAACTAATCATCTTACTAAATTCAAATGTTACTACTATTTTATAAATGCACCCACTAAAATTGATGCCCATACGACGATTGCCCTTTCTTGGGGTCCTATTGGCTCGTTGGCCCCTTATGCTAATAAAATGGGGCCTTTAAGAGATATTTGGCGTGCTTTGACTGACAATAAATAATAGGTTTGTGTGTTATATTGTTTAATTACTTTGTTTTATTATTAATTGTTGTTTCTTTGTATTTCATCTTTTTTTGTTTTTAATAGTCGGTGCAAAGAGTATTATAGGTACATTTACTTAGACCATACAGTATAATGAACTATACAAAATAATTTTTAAGTCGAAACGCCAATTAGAAGATTTCCATACTTAATACTAATAGAGAGAATGTGTTGGCCGTGGGTGTGTATTTGAGTGTAACTGAAGCCTGTGTTGTCGGCTTGTATTGATTGATTTAGTAAATGTCTGATAGTGTTTTAAGGATAAAAATGTTTCCGTGTAAAAAAACAAGTTGTATCGTAAATAAATAAGTATAATACGAGTATATGCGTGTGTTCTTAGTATATATATAATAGTATCAAACGCTTATACTGGGAATAAATAAGGCGCAACTGCTTTTCTCTGTGAATACAAAAGAAACAACATTTAAAGCCTATATTCTAGGTTTTATAAAGTAAAATAATATAATAAAAAAAATAAAATATCTTACATATATTATGTCAAGTGACATAAATTAAACATCGTCGATCAGACGGCAAAGACAACATTACAAAAGAGTTTATATAAAATACAATATAGACAAGAGTTTGTATAGGAACATATATTATGTTTTCCTTACATATATAATTAATATAATTGTATATTAATTATATATACTAAGTATATATACTAATACAATTATTGCAAAATGAATATTGAAAAAGGCGTGAATGTATAAATTAAATAAATAAAAATGTTTATATATCTCGGTGATATATATAACTGATATAATAAACTACAAGGGACAGGAATGGTCATTAATTTAACACTAACACAAGGTAGATAATATATGGCGGCTGTGCAGGATTAGACGGGATTTATTGATTAATCTTAAAGGTTTAGAATTATCACTAAATAAATTCAAAGCCCTCGTTAAACGAAAATTAATCAACAAAGCTTTTTATAAATTTGAGGACTACTTAAATGATCCTAATCCTTGGGATTGAATTGCTCCAGTTCAAACAATTTGTATGACAATACTTGGCGATTAAAAAGAGTGGCGGAAAGTTTCTTGCCAGTTCTTCTTACCCGCTCTACGCCCTTGACTTGCGAACTGGTAGTAAATGTAAATTTACAATTAATTTAACTTGACAATTCAAAAGTGTACTTGGTTACCTACTTGAATAAAGATATTTTGAGTTTGAGTTTGAGTTTGAGTTTAGAACCGATTTTAATGAAAATTGCAGATGTTTTAAAATTAAACCTATTTTTTTGTGTATTCTACTATTAATAAGTGTCATTATTAGGTACCACCATCGCAGCCTCCGAATCAGATGTGTCAGGTATTTAATTTTTTACTATTTGAAAAATCCCGGCTGAATATCCTTTTATAATTACGTGCTCATATATTTTATCGTGAGAAAAGTCATCTATTGGTAACTAAGATTCAGAGTTATGACTTCCGAATGTCAAAAATCTATTGGATTTCCTGCTGGAGAGAGCTGGCACAGAAAACTGATCACCCAATTCCCGGTGATAAATAGTAGTAGTTGTAGGTGATACAGATACTCAACTAATTATTTAATTTTATTTTAGCACCTGAAAGCAGTAAGTTTTTTAATATTCAACGAAATATTTTTATTTTTAATGTCCAATTGTACTCTTTCGTTTCTTAATTGTGTTTACGCTGTGATGAAAAGAGTCAAAATGAGCTGTTTATTTGATTGTAATTTGGTGGTGTTTTCGTCCGACACGTGTGGTCTAAGATCCCGCTATACAACGACCTTCACCGAGATGCTTATTTAATGAAACTTATTTTATATATAATTTAATATGTCAATAAATATAATCCATATGGGTTGCCTAGCAAATTTCAGTCCAGAGTATGTTTAATTAATTTAAAAAAAAAATATTTTTTTAAACATTTCACCGGTATGATTATTAGATAAATTCTATACCAATCGAACGTATGAAGCCCATAGAATATGCAAACGTTACGTTGTTTTTAATCAATTAATTATTTATGTGTATATTTTTTATGTGACACTAAAGTATATATACATCTTTAGTATAAAAGAAGGTTATAGTGATACATATATAATACTACCCTGATTAAAAATATTGATTGAAAAAAGTTCAAAATTTACTACATGCAAATTATAAAAAAAAAATTTTTTTTTTAATATTAATTAAACATACTCTGGACTGAAATTTGCTAGGCAATCATATGGATTATATTTATTGACATATTAAATTTAATATAAAATAAGTTTCATTAAATAAGCATCTCGGTGAAGGTCGTTGTATAGCGGGATCTTATACTAGTGGTCAATATGTTGAATCCGAAAACGTCTCTTATTACTCTTTTTATCATTAATTTATATTTCAGGTGTAACGGACACACCCACTGAAGGTTAGTGTAGGAACATTGTAAAACGATGTTAATAATTTTATTTTTTTTTAAATAGCTTTACTAACATATACATGTACAATAATAATAGTACCTACAATATATATTTAAGGAAAAAGTTGACTGATTCCGAGCGAGAGAAAAGGTTGGAATCGCACTTTCTTCCGCGTTTCAGTGTTTTATAATACACAAACGAGTAAAATTTATAATAAATATATACAACCTACTGAAAACACAATATTTTTTAAAAGTGGCCAGTATTATTGCGGACGGATAAAAACTCTTTTGTCATGAGGGAAAAAAAGAAACATAATAACTCTATGATCTATTACTTCATAATGTATCCATATGCCTTTCACGACCAAAGAATAAATATGGAATATAAAACATTTCCCTTCGACGCAAATTTAAAAGCACTTCCAGTATATATGTAGCAGTTCCATAATTGTAAGGAACTACTAAACGAAGCTAAACAATTGGGTTTGTTGACGCAGCGATCATTTAATAGTAGCATTTTTATTGTCATTTATAATAATTATTAAGGGCCTCATAGCCTAGCGGTCTTATTAAGTGGCAGCTAGGTGAGGGGTACCGAGTTCGATTCCCGGTTTGAGGGCAAGTTTTAATTTAATTTAAATTTGTTCTCGGCCTTTGGGAGGGTTATGCGGTACCGGGCGAGTGCTTAACACGTTCACTGCGCCATCATTATCAAAGAACTTTCAGCTGGTGCTTTGGAGACCTAAAAGATCTCGTAACAAGCCTATCCTTTGGTGCGTTTGAGATCTAATCAGTCTCCTAAAAATACAGTTTTGAAAATAATTTATATCTTCCAAAAAAACAATGACATATATTTTGAAGTTTTTGTGGGTGAAAGATAGCTTATTGCTTTATATTTTGCTAGGTTCGCACGCAGTTACGACATTTGAATAAACTACAAATACCAAAAAAAAAAAATATCGATTGTATCTCGTACCGCAACCGAAGATAGTTCAATATGTGTAGTAAGTAAGTAGTGATGGGAATAAAATAATATCTCAGTTATCGATTCTAAAAGTGTTATTAATTATGCAAAGTGTTTTTCATTAAAACATTGGTTGCTTGCACATTAGGCGCAAAAGTATAACAATTCGTATAGATTTTTTAGCAGCGTCAGTGCTGTTTAACTACGTGTGCTCCAACGAAAAAGGTTCATCGTTTTCTTTGTAGGTACGTCAAATATTTCATAATCAGAATCACTGTCATTATTAGCCGATGGGGGTGCCCCCCCAATTTGGACATTTTCCAACATTTTTATCGACTTCCCATGGTGATTCTAAAAAGAGTCACGCAGCGCCCGCGCCGCCCATCCTCCCTCTCTTGCGTCTACGAGGCGTACGATTTTACGAGTACCGACATATCTCCTAACGCAAGGAATTAAAACAATTACAGTACAGTGCTTTAGGGACCTAATCCATCTCTAATTTATTTTTTAATGTCCTTTAATTCAGCTTTAAGTAGGAAGCAAATATATATATTTGTCCTGCTCATACTTAAAGAACTTTACAAGTTAGATCCTCCCGCAAGGAGTGAAAAAACACGATTATGCTCAACGCACAATACAAAAGTCCTGCAGGAGATCTGATAGATCTCGTAATGCAGCGAACGTGTTAAACCGTACATGGCAGGCACGGTCGAATTTCTAAGGCAAGCAGTGAGTATGCTACCTAAGAAAGGAGACTGTGAAGGTTTAGAACGTAGCAATACGTTCTAGGCCGAGGTAGGCAAATTACAAGTGCGAATTATAAAATCATATACTTGACGCTGGCACTAATGCACAAACCGTGCCAGAGCCATAAAAAAATAATAATTTAAAAGTAAAAGTGAGTCTTATTTTTACAGCTGCCGCTGCTGAAACCCCGGAGCCTACAACGGCCGCTGCGTAGAAACGTGAACAGTTCATTAGCTCCGAGAAATGAGAGTAATTTAATTGTGAATAAATTTCATAGCCAAAAATTCGTGTTTTAATTTACATAAGGGGGTAATGTCAAACGTTCATTAACCCCTAATTATGTAACCTAACATTAGTTATGTTACATAATTATCTTAATATATATATTTCTTGTGTGCGTGTGTATGTGACTGAACTTCTCTCAAACGACTGGACCGATTTTGATGAAATTTTTGTGTGTGTTCAAGGGGATCTGGGAATGGTTTAGATTCACAAATCAGCCCGGCAGATGGCACTGCAGTCGGTACTTTCATACTTTGCTTAATATCCTAATCGCTTTAAATATCATGCAGGACAACGTCTGTGGGGTCCACTAGTATTTTAGTAAAGAATTAGAAGCGCAACCCAATTGTTAGCCATCTGCGATGATTGATACTTGAAGCCAAAATAAGCCCTTTCCGATATTATATACATAC